TTTGCAGGTCTGGAGCATTCAGCTGTGTTCCCACATCCAAGAAATTCACTGTGAGTTCAGACCCTCTGATGATCAGGGAAACTGCAAAATATCCAACTCTACAGGCCTCAGTCAGCATGTTAAACAGTGAAGTTCATGACGGTACAAATAAAAAAACTAGTTGTTTGGAAGCAGAAAGCCTCTTCACTCTAAAAAGAACAGAAGGTGCTCCTGAGCAAACCGCAAAACTTCTGGAACGACGTCCTTTAGACAGATGGGACCAAAATGATGTTGTGTGGAGCAAATCAGCACGAACACCTCAGACCAACAGTCAGCGAGGTGGTGGGGAGGTGATGATTTGCGCACCTTGCAGTCACTTGGTCCGTCATGAATTCCTCTGTGTACCAAAGTATGCTCGAGTCTAACGTAAGGCCATCTGTGTGACAACTAAAGCTTGGCTGAAACTGAGACATGGAACAGGATGATGATCACATGCACAGCAGCAAATCTACAACAGATTCCCTGAATATTAAAAGAGTCAGTGCAGCAGCAGCGGTCAGGTCAAAGTCCAGACCTTCAGAGAGCTGTGCACGAACCTCAGTGACCTGAAGCAGAGAAGACAAAGTCATAGAGAAAATAATCACTTTAGCTTATTGCTGCTAAAGGTGGTTCAACTAAGCTAAGATCAAACCCAGCCCTCAATTAAAAAAACTGATTAAAAACAGAAAACTGTGCAACAAACAACAAACAGCTGCTCTCATTTCTGCTGAAAACATCTCTGACATATTTCAGAAAAGTGCCCAAACTTTTCAGATACTTTTTCTTTGACCTTCAGCATCGCTCTAAGTGTAAGCATACAACAAAGTTAGGAGCACTGCTCAATTTAGTGTATACAGAAAAACATAAATGAAATATGTTATATGCTATCATAAATAAAAATAAATGAATGAATAGGTAATATTAGTATAACAACACCCTGAATGTGTAACTCTTTCTGATGGGAGGGTTTAGCTCAAGTCTCTGAGTATGCTGTTAGACCAAACAGACAAGCTTCATTTTTTAGTTTAACTTTTACTTCCACACATTCAGAGCATTCCCCGGGAGCATCTGGTGGCTTTCAGAGGAACTGCGGCTTCGGGCATTTTTAGCACCCTCTGTTCTGTATATTCATATTTAATCAGCTCGGGTTCTGGTGCTGCTTACGTTTGTGAGTGTTTGGATCCCGGGTGACTAAAATAAGCCCGATCACATCGGCGTGAGAGCGTTCAGGCGACAGGGCTGCAAAAAACAGTCAGCTGACGATGCAGAGAGAAGAGAGAAGGAAGCTATATCAAGAAAGATGATGGAAGAGGGAGTGTGTGTGGGCGAAGTAAGAGAGGCTGTTGCCATGGCACTCTGCCACCTCCTGTTCCCTCCACCTGTTACAAATAACACACTGCGATGGAGACATTAATGTGGCGTCAGAAGCGCTGCGGCCTTCAGTTTCTGTCATCTGCAGCCACTGACTCACACTCCGTACAGTATGTGGCTGCTTTAGATTTTCCAGATTCTCCTACATCGCAGAGGCATCTCATTGGCCCCAGACTCATCCTGCAGCAGGACAGCAAGCCCTAGCATCCAGCCACAGTCACAAAGAACCAAATTCAACTGCGAGAGGAATGAGATTTGTGCTCTTTCAGGTTCTCAAGAGCACAAATCTTAACATCATGGCGTCTAAAATCAACCGAGCCCTGCATGACGAGTCCACCACCAACTTCAAAATGTGGGGCACAAGTGTGTTTTGTACCTTACTCTGTAAGAAGGTGGTTATTTAATAAAAAGTCCTTATTTTGTTCTGAATTTACATTTAGAGCCTAAAACTTTCCATACTCCTGTAGCGAAGGACTATAAGGAAAAACTAAAGGAGTCCAAGCACTGATCCAAAAACCATTTGCTGACTCTGGATGGCATTACCTTCACCTCCAATACACTGTGAAAAATCTTGGAGTCGGTTTTGACCAGGATATGTCCATCAGTGCACATATTAAACAAATACGTAGGACTTCTTTCTTCTATTTGTGCAAAATTTCTAAAATTAGAAATATCCTGTCTCAGAGTGTCTACTGTAATTCATTATTATCAGGATGTCCTAAAAACTCACTGAAAAGCCTTCAGTTAATCCAAAATGCTGCAGCAAGAGTCCTGACAGGGACTAGAAAGAGAGAGCAGATTTCTCCTGTTTTGGCTTCCCTTCATTGGCTTCCTGTTAAATCCAGAATTGAATTCAAAACCCTGCTCCTCACATACAAGGTCTTAAATAATCAGGCCCCATCTTATCTTAATGACCTTGTAGTACCATATCACCCTATTAGAGCACTTCGCTCTCGCTCTTTAGGCCTACTTGTTGTTCCTAGAGTATTTAAAAGTAGAATGGGAGGGAGAGCCTTCAGTTTTCAGGGCCCTCTTCTGTGGAACCAGCTTCCAGTTTGGATTCGGGAGACAGACACTATCTCTACTTTTAAGATTAGGCTTCAAACTTTCCTTTTTGCTAAAGCATATAGTTAGGGCTGGACCAGGTGACCCTGAATCCTCCCTTAGTTATGCTGCAATAGACATAGGCTGCCGCGGGATTCCCATGATGCATTGAGTATTTCCTTTCCAGTCACCTTTCTCACTCACTATGTGTTAATAGACTTCTCTGCATTGAATCATACCTGTTATTAATCTCTGTCTCTCATTCACAGAATGTCCTTGTGTTGTCTTCCTCCCTCCAGCCCCAGCCGGTCATGACAGATGGCCACCTGGGTGGTACAGGAAGTTTCTTGCTGTTAAAAGGGTGTTTTTCCTTCCCACTGTCACCCAGTGCTTGCTCATAAACAGTGCTGGGAAGGTTACTTTTAAAATGTATTCCACTACAGATTACAGAATACATGCCCCAAAATGTATTTTGTAATGTATTCCTATAAGTTGCTCACTGAGAGTAGGCTAACGTATTTTTGAATATCATGAATGTACTATTGCTGTGTGATTTATTACTGTTACTGAAGGTTACTCCCCATACCAATACCAATTTAAATCTTAACATAAAATGAGTAACAGTAGGGTGGACGAAAGGCTGCACTTTTTGCAGTCATCTTGTATAGAAAACCATTTCTGTATCAGTAATATGTTTTCTTTTTGTCTGTTAATAATCATGTGGAACTGCACATGATTATTTGCAGCTAGCAGGTTGTTAATGCTATCCATCAAGTCTAAAAACAGCATGTTAATACATGGAGATCCTGAAGGCTGCTCCAAAAATGATCAGCTTATACTTTAAATATTTGTTCAGTTCTCTTCCAAACCAGCTGTCTATTGTAAGTTTTGAGTGCTTAAAGTGTTCTAACATCCCATGTTTGTTTTTATTCAGGTACAAATTTGCACTGCTTTTATTAAGAGATGAAGCTTGTGTTTCTGTCATGTAGTGATTGTGGTTAACTGTATGAAGCTTATTAGATATTATGAAACCAATGATATTTTTAAATTATCTTTTTTTTTAAAAGAAACCTACTACATCATCTGTAATTTTTTTATGTCATGTGTAATTTCCATTGCAAATATTAATCACAGTTAAATTATGAGTCAGTCTAACCTCAGCTAACGCCAGCTAATAATGGCAGATACTGAAGTTTCGCCCATCCCATTCATCTTATGAAGTGGTGTCGGAATTTCCAAGTAAGAAAAGCATTCCTGCCCGTGTACCGCTGGCTCTGAGTCCATTGTGTAACTGAGGCCACCAACATTAACAGAATACTTACATTAGAGCCTCTTATTATGTCTTTTGTTTGGGTTTTGGGCAATCAGAATCCAAATCAGAGAAACTGCATTAATCCCAGATGGAAATTGAGTAAAAAAATAAATAAATAAAAATGATTCAAACCCCAGCCAGCAGCCCTTAACCATGTGTCATATGAGTGCATGATCAGCCAACTGAGCTAAAGTGGACCCAACTCTGTTTAATCACCAAAATTGGAGAAGCGATAGAGAGGGGATAGCCTAACATATGAAACAGGAAATGACTGCAAAAGGTGGTATTCTAAATAAAGCATTGTTTGATTGTTGGTGTTTTCTCTGTATTATTACACAATCTTTACTGTACAATACAAAACACCTTGAAGTGACTGTTGTTGTGATTTGGTGCTATATAAATAAAACTGAATTGAAATTGAATATGTGCCTTTTTGACTCTCTGAAATGTTCATGGAGTTAACCTGAGGTCCAGTAATAAGTGCTACACGGGTCTTTATATAAGAACAGAAACAGACTTTTCCCGTATCACTGTACCACAGAGTTACTCAAACAAGAGTCAAATTAAAAAGAGACCACAATGAAGCCAAAAACAAAGCTCAAAACTAGTTTTTAAAACAAGTTAATTTGTCAAACACAACATAACAAATATAATTAAGCAACAACAGACAGCATAATACAAACTCACATAAGTATACACAAACACACACACCATCTCATTTTGTGTCATTATAATAAATATAAATATATAATAAATATGATGTAAAATGGTAGTTTAGAGTGAGTCTCAAACAGTCCATGGTTAAAGGCGTTTTATTTTGAAACCCTTCAGCTTTAGAGCAGCAGTTGTAAATGTTTGCTGAGCCTCCTGTGGACATTCGGGTATCTGTGCTGCTGCTGAACAAACAGACAACGAATGATAGACTAATAACAGTAACAGCTCGTTAACACATTAATAAGTGCTTTGAAACGCTCACAAATCCACTGGTGTGCATCTGGCATGTGGTTCATTGATTTACAGCTATCCAGGAGATAAATTCGAATATCACCTTGAAGTTTCATCCTGTGGTGAAACAGAACAAACTGACTTGGATGAAACCCACTGACGAGGTCGTATTCTCCTTTAAGGTTGCTATGGGAACCAGATATGCAGCTTGATAACATCAAGGTTGTCGAACCAACATAAACACCCGCCAGCGAGCGCACACACACATTCACGGTCATACGTAAGTAACAAAAACAACTCCCGCATACACACACAGCGACCTCTCCAAGGTTTTTTTGTGCGTGTAAGAGGTTAAAGCCGGGGCTCTCCAGCGTCTCCCTGCACTCTCCTCCACCTCACCGCAGACATGCTCACCTGTCTCCTCTCATTCCTGTCTCCTTCGCTCTCTCCCTCTGTCCTTATCACCCTTTTTACTGTCGTAGTGGTCGTCCTGTTCTTGACCACATGCCGGCTCGTTCCTGTAACCGAACCCTCGGCTCGGGGCTCCATCCCCTGCCTGCCACGGCTCCCCTTCCTGGGCAGTCTCCCCTGGCTTGGAGGAGGCCTCCCACCTCATCTCCTCTTCACGCAGATGTCCCACAGGTGAGATCGGCATGTTAATTTTCTGGTCGTGAGTTTGGTCACGAGTTTTGTCAGGAGGAATCAGTCATGTTTACAAGACAGCAATCAGTCACAGATATGGAAGGACTGGTTCATTTTTAGGGACACTTTGGCAGGACCTTTTAACGTGTAGTCATGTTTGAGAAGACTAGTTAATGTTAGTCGGCAAATATTCCTTCAGTTGGGGGACAAAATAAGTGGAAAACCTAGTGCATGTTTAGGAAGACAAACTATACAAATATGTATATCTTTGGGGGACTACTACTACTACTTATCATGGAATGAGTAGTTGATGTTTGAGAGGAATACTTAATATTAACTTTAGTAGCAGGGCTGGACTGGGACAAAAAATCGGCCCAGACATTTTGACTGGTGACCGGCCCACCAGGTATTATAGGAAAAACCACAAATCCTCTGAATGAAAACAAACGCCGTTGTCACAGTGATGTACACTGTCTTGTTGGTATATATGTATCAATCTAATAAATTTAGACCTACACCATCCTCCCTATTCTGGTATTCTAAACAGTACCTGAAAGTAGACTGCTTGGTCGAGTTAACCTCCTGAACTATCTACAGCACATGGTGAAAACCTGAAATTAAGACGGAGAAGACTAGAGGTGAGACATGATCATTACTGATTACTGATGACAGATTTAGATATATTTCCATAAACCATTCATTTGCCACATCAATAAACAGCATGGCAGGGCAAAATATTTTTTCTAACATGGCAACCTTTAAAAAGTGAAAGGAGACAGAAAGACAGGTGAGAAAGAATAAAGCTTAAGTGACTTTTTGATGGCATTTTACACACAGTACTGGTGCAGTATCTAGAAAATGTGGGAAAATACTGGCATCATGTACAGTACTTAGCTACTCAAAAAATTACTATGTACAATAATGGATTTCTATATTTTACATCAGATGAAAAGGTTTGTTGTAAGATTCAGATAATTATTTATTCAAATTTTTTTGATGACATAACAAAGAAAAGTATTTCTTTGTGCCCCCCTTTCCCTGTTAATGCCCTACATGCCCACCTGGCAACACTTTGCTAGACCCGCCCCTGCAAAGTTACCAGCTGTCAGCTACCTAAAAAAGGATCCTGATGTTATTTGTCTCTCAGAAACAGTTCATAACTTCCCTTCAACTCATTCATGTCACCTAAAAGGTAAACCTGTTTCTTCATCACAGCTCTGATGATTCAGTAAGGACATCTCCTGGTTTCATCTTCATGTTTCCCTCTCACCAGATAACCAAACCGACATCATGACCAACAGCTTTACAGCTGTGGCTCCAGCAAACATCAGCTGATACTAGAAATTAATATTAAATAAATTCTAACAACAGCTGATCAAGCTTAAACGTGCTGCTGTTGTTTAGCGCGACATCCGCTGGTTTCCTCTTTCTGGCGCAAAGTGGGCGATAAACAAACAAGAGAGAAAAGCCGATCAGCTGATCATTGATCAGTTTCATGATTGAAGTAGAAACAGGAGAGGGAGGGGGAGAGAATGAGAGAGGAAGAGGCAGCTGTGCAGCAAAGACACAGAATAACTCCAGCTTTGTGTCCGTGACAAACTGTTCCTTTTCACCTCAATACCAAACGCACAATATTTTCTCTGAATACAAGGCGACTCTGTTTTTTACGGGACAGTTGGAAACTCTAATAACTAACCTTATAAATAAAATAAGATAAAACAAGTTCAACATCAATAAAATCATAGCACCCGCCCAGCTGTATAGAAACTCTGTCATGCTAGCTACTCGAGTTATTGTAACTGACTGTAAAAAGTCAGCATAACGAAAATAAACTACACTTAAACTTTATATCTGACCCAGATAGACTGCAGGTCATAACTTCTTACCTGACGTTCAGGTCACCACCTCAGGTCTCTGCTCCTCCTGCCTTTCCGTCATCCACCTGCCAGCGTGTTGCACCTGCTGGCCTCCACCACTTGCTAATGTTACTGAATCTGTGGAAGCTCCGCAATAGCCACCACCAAACAGTCATTTTTACACATCTCCCTTCATCTGGCCAATCCACCACCTCAAGTTCAAGTTCAAGTTCAAATTTTATTCGCCACATGCAGGTTGCCCAGACCCGCCTCGTGTTCCCAGGAGGCAACAAGCATCGAAGGCATTGGAAGGAGGGGGGGATATGTGAGTGCTTATCAGTGTAAGTGTATGTGTGAGCGTGTCCATAGTTCAGCTGAGACAGTGTCCTTCACCCTATCAGGCTAAGTAAACAGTCTACCAGCCAACCCAGGTGGCCTTGCATGGGATGGGAAGAATAGTCATCACACAGTCGTTATCAGGGAGTTTTTGTTCGGCTCCAGCCTTGGGCCTGCAGCTGGCACCGTGGTGTCCGCATGTTGAATATTGTTGATTTTTCTTTTATGCAAGCAGCTCAGGAGAACCGCGAGCATCCCCATGATGGTATCAAACTTCTGTTCCGTGGTGTTGTCATTCTTGTGATTCTGAGACCCCACAACATGCAGTGAGCCATTCTGTGATGTGATCCAACTTTCGCTCAAGGGTCTCATTTTGAGCAGGCCTCTCTTTGATGTATCCCAATATACGCTCAATGGTGTTGTTTTGAGCCTTCACGGCAGCTGTAAGCGTCTCCAAGATGTTAACCATGCTGCGTTCGTTGTGAGAGGCCGCGCCTCGTCCCGTCGCTTCGATTCCAGCGGTCAGCCTTGGGGGCGGGGGGGGGGGGGGGGGGGGGGGGCGGTTTGAACAGCCGGTTCCGCTGTCTTAATTCTCCGATAAGCCAGGGCCAAGCAAACTCCGATCAGCAAGAACCCTGTTATCATGGTTCCGCATAGGTAGATATCTTCAGCGTCCTCGATCGACACTCCCGCCAGGCACATGATCCTCCAGTTCTGCCACCCGTCCATCGTGTATCCGGCAGGGAAAGTCCCTCCAGGGCACTCGGGCTCTCCCGAGCCCAGACTTCTCATTGAGAAAAGGGTGTCAATAGCATTCAGAGACCAGTTGATCAAATCCATAATTCTCTTTTAGGTTTTAGAAACAGACAGTGAGAGACGGTTCAAGGGAAAGTAATGCACACGAGACAAGACAAGGACACAAGAGGCTAAGCAGGGAAGATAAGGGGAAGGAGGAGAGGAGAAAAAGTGAGACTGCCTTCACCGAGAGCCAAACGAGAAACACCTTTCAGTGTTTATACCATTACGGGAAAAAAAAAAACCATCGGCCCATAAAAACGAAAAATGCCCAGTATGCCCGATGGCCAGTCCAGCTATGTTTAGTAGGTAAATGTTTGTGTGGAGGACTAGTTAAATTTCAGGAGTAACGTTCATCAGCCCATGTTCACTGTAGAAGTTTAATGTTTGGAAGGACTAGTTAATTTTTGTAAACAAGTATACATGTGTTGATGGGGACTAGTTCATATATCTATCTATCTATATATATATATATATATATATATATATATATATATATATATATATATGTAGATATATATATACATATATATATAGATATATATATATGTATATATATATCTACATATATATATATATATATATATATATATATATATATATATATATATATATATATATATATATATATATATAAATCCATAAATCCATAAATCCATTATGGAAGTACTGGTTAATGTTTGGGAGGACTAGTTAAAGGATAGGAGGACAGGTTAATGTTTGTAAGTATGCATTCATTATTGGAGATCTAGATAATGTTGAGGAGGACAAGTAAGTGATGTTAGTGATGTAAATATTAAATGTTAAATAAATATAGTAAATATTTATGAGTGGGGGAGGATGAGTTAGTGTGTATAAGGACAATTTACTGATTACTATGACTAGTTAGTGTATCTCAATTCACTGTGGTCACGTTTTTATGCATCAGTGTCCGCACTGTTCCATTTCAGGTATGGGCCTCTGTTTGGGCTCTACCTCGGTCCTCACTACACTGTGGTCATAAACAGCCATCAACATGCCAGAGAGGTTCTGATGCAGAAAGGCAAGGACTTTGCTGGACGGCCGAGCATGGTGAGACATGCAGATGTAAAGACAGAGAAAATACCCACATGATATTCTGTTCCAACAATTGCCCAGATTCTTCAATTTAATTATGTTTTTGCAGCTTGAAGGGCATAAAGAGGGTATATGGAGGTTCATGATCTAAATTTAATTTTAACTGGACTGGTTAGTTTCTAAAGTGGGAAATGATTTTAGGCTCTTTAGTGTTTGATTTTCTGGATTTTTTCTGGAATACTTTGGGTTTTAGGCTGTTGGTTAGACCCTTTGGTACTTAATGACACTCATGTCTTATGTGATCTGTGATAATTGAGAAATAATTTTATTCAGTTTGATAAAATTTCATTTCAACAACTACTCCCTAAAAGAGCTTTACATTATAGGGTAATGACTCTAAAGAGCCCCCAACAATCATATCGTTATCCACCAAGCGCTTGGCGAAGGAAGGAAAAACTCCCTTTTTGTAACCTGTATATATATTGATAATGACCAGAATTCTTCAATTCTTCACTATAGCTTTAGTGTACTGCTCTCCTTGTGTGTGCAGGTACACAATTCACGCAGCCAGCCAAACTCCATTTGAAAGAATACGTGAGTCAGCATATAGCGTCCAAGCTCCAGGTGCTTTATTTTACATTGCACCGCCATACACCATTGAATCTGAGTGAAACTAAAACATAAGAAGAAATAATACAATAGTAAGGTGATTAACACAATGATATATTACAAATGCCATTATCTACTCTATAGCAAGTCAAGGCTAGCAACAAAAGACAAAGACATATTCATGTAATAGGTCATCCTATGTATACATGACATGTGGTTAGCTTAGCAAATTTAGCAAATGTTACTAAAATATGGCTCTATACTGTTAAGTCAACAAGTACTTACAGACGCTGCTTTCGAAGGCATAAACAAGAAAGAGGATTGCAGTGGATAACTACAGGAACCCTTCAGCACATGTGAACCTGCTTACCCTAACTAACATGGTCATCTTCTTGTTCTGGGTCAAAGTGCATGTCACATTAACAACAATTTACAAGGCCCAGTAGGGGGCAATAAACTCAAGGCAGAACATCCAGTTTATGGAACATTTTACCTAAATCAAAAAACTATATAACTCATATTTCATTTTACAAAAATTATTTTATTTTTTTTTACAAAGTTTATTTGAGGTTAACGCTTATCCATAATTATAAACCCTTCACCTTTACTGTACTTCCCACCCTTAATTAAACACATGTGAAGTCTTTCATTAAGATGCCCCTAGCTTAGTGAGAACCTCAGTAATGTAACTGTTACATAATGTGGATTTTCCTATGTATATTTCATGCCTGTAAACCATTTCACAGCTACTCTGATGTGAAAAACACAACAGAAGAAAAACCCACTGCATTTTTAGAAAACCCTTCACAGAAATAATACTGTTGGTTTTCGTCCTTGGTGTCAGGTCAATGTCATTTCCTGTCTCTGTGCTGCTCTCAGCAGTGTCCTTGTCTGAATATTTTTCTTCCATTTTATTTTGAAGTACTGTTTTGAAACTGTTCTTACATTCATCCTTGTTTTTCCCTGCAGGTCACCACCAACCTGCTGACCAGAGGAGGCAAAGACATCGCATTTTCAGACTACACCCCTCTCTGGAAGCATCACCGTCGCCTCGTCCACAACTCCTTCACTCTGTTCGGAGAAGGAACAACTCGATTGCAAGACATCGGTACTTGGCTCCATCCTGCCACTTGGTTTTAATTCACCCATCTGTTTCGTAAAAAAAAACAAAACAAAACCCCACACTTCTAATATTTTAACAGGTTTAGCTGAAGTACACTGCTGTTTGACAGGCAAAGTAAAAAATATTCATCAAAATCAGCATCAAGCTAACGTAAACCTAAATAGCCTTCAGGTTGGCATGGGAATTCAGAAGAAATGTTTAATATAAGGCAAAAAGGAAATGCTTTTTCAAATGTGCCAGTTTATGTTGATTGTTTGATGGATATAAACAGCATGTAACTCCATAGACTATAAATAGTTCATTCAGAATATGAAGAAACAGACTTTTAGTTTTTTTTAAATGTCTCTGTATTGTACTGAAGCGATACCTACTGATGCTGGCAAAGGGTCAGGCAGTACTTTTATGTACAACCACTTCCTACCACAAGACAGTGCAGCGACTCTCTGTAACCCTGATTTATGGTACCTTCAGAAAAACCTTTAATTTCAAAAGTGTTTTGTTGAAATTCTGATTGTGCCATTTTCTGATCTTTTTTCTTTTTCTTTACATTTTTTATCATTTCTTTCTTCAGTTCTGTCTGAGGTGGACAGTCTGTGTGTTGAGCTGTTGTCCAGCGAAAAGCAGGGGTTTGATCCATCCTCTGCAGTAACCAGAGCCGTCACGAATATTATTTGCACACTAGTGTTCAGTGCCACCTATCGACACGGCGATGCTGAGCTGCAGGAGGTGATTCAATACAACAATGGGATTGTGGAAACAATTGCCAGGGGAGGACTGGTTGACATCTACCCCTGGCTGAAGGTATAATTCTATACTTGGTACTGAGGTGCTCTGTATACAATCTTATATCCTATATCTGTTTGAAAAAAAAGAAGAAGAAAATTGCCCTTTTTGAAAAACTCAAACTCAAACTCACTCAAACTTTATTTAAAGATGTCAACTGACAAATTAACAAATACATGTAAATATTTAACTTTAGAGAACACATTTCTTCTCACTGTGTTGCTAAAATGATCAGCTAAAACTTTCTCAAGGACTTATTGTCACCATTTGGTGACAGCTGGAGCTGTATGATTCAACTTAACCTTTACATAGAAACAAACAAAAATAAAACATGAGGACTTACTGATAAGTTGTAAAAATATGATACAAGGCCCAAATATTTGGCAGTTAAAAAAAGATCCAAAACCATCCAGTGATGGCATTTATAGTAACACAAGCAAAACATTGCTTCTTTCCTTGTCTGAATAAACTGTAAGAGTCTAACTCTATCCCGCAGGTATTCCCCAACAAGTCTCTCAGTAAATTGAAGAAGTGTATCACTATCAGAGACCAACTACTGACCCGCAAACTGCAGGAACACAAGGTAATAAACAAACTTACACTACTTTAATATAAGCAAACAGAATGGATTTTTATCATAGAAACACATCACGTAGCATCAGGAGTCACTCAAGGCTCAAAAGTTGAAGATGGGTCTCTCCAGTAGGCAACGTCAGGATTTTGTCTTGGGGAAATAAGGAACACACAGCATAACAGTGTGGCATTGTGGGTATATTAAACCCTTAAAGATGAGATAAAGGTTTCAATTTATAATGTATGAAGCACGTGTTGTTGCCTGTGTTTCAAAATATATTTACATATCTTCAAACAATTCTAGAAAATTGTCTTTGATCTTGCCTGATTTTTTTGTTTTGTTTTACCTGATCTGTTTTCAGTTATCAAGAAGTGACGGAGAACCACGTGACCTCCTGGATGCCTTGTTAAAGGGCCAGACTGGTGGGCAGGGTCAAAAATCTTCGGAGCCAAAAGACGACGAGTTAACTGACGACCATGTCCTGATGACAGCGGCCGAGACTTTTGGAGCTGGAGTGGAGACAACATCCACCACACTACTGTGGATTCTGGCCTACCTGTTGCATCACCCTGAGGTAGAAACATAATGTCGGTCAAAGAAATGTAAAAGAAAAGGCATTATGAGGACTTTCTGTTTATCAGCCCAACAAGAAAAACATGAAGACGTTTGGGCAGAAAACTGGCGGCATATAAGACACTTCATCTTGTGCCCTCCATCATGCTCGATGCCTTTTCTGTAGTCTTTAATTATGAATGGTCAATTTGGTCTGCCAATATGCTTCACCCACTCTAGGTCCAGGAGCGCGTGCAGAAGGAGCTGGATGAGCATGTTGGCAGTGAGCGGACTGTGACCATATCAGACCGTGGTCAGCTGCCGTACCTGAACAGTGTCATTAACGAGGGCATGAGGATCCGGCCAGTGAGTCCCGTGCTGATCCCACACACCGCTATGACCAACAGCAGGTAGACCAGTTTAAATCTGTATTGCAGCCATTGCTGATTTGTTTAGTACATTAAGTTTCTTGTTATGATGAAAATGTGAACAAGGAAACATTAGCTTATTTTCTCCATCCATTGTCTTCTGCTGAACTGAAGCACTGTTAGCTAAAAAAAGATTACAACAGAAATGCATTATAAGGTAATCTGATTGTTTTGTATAATAAGAAAACCTTAAATAACTGGGGATCTCTGGTAGCATTGGAGGCCACATTGTCAGCAAGGGGACACGTGTTTTGGTCAACATGTGGTCGATTCACCACGACCCCCATCACTGGGACAAACCTGATTTGTTCAAACCAGGTTAACAGATGCACATAAACACCAACAATGTAACTCCAGCTTTTTTTTAAAAAGAGCACCTGATCACACCACCTTCTCCTGTGTTGTCCCATCATTTCAGAACGTTTTCTTGACCACCGTGGTCAGCAGGTCACACCCTCCTCTTTCCTTCCATTTGGGGCGGGACCTCGAGTCTGCGTTGGCAAATCACTGGCTATCCTGGAGCTTTTCCTTTTCTTGTCCTCTCTGCTCCAGCGAATGAGCTTCAGGGTGCCACATGGTGCTCCTCTGCCCAACTTGCAGGGACGGTTGGGTGTGGTGTTGCAGCCATTGCCTTTTAAAGTTGTTGTTATTCCCAGGGCTGGATGGGAGGATGGAGGAAAATGACAGAGTGGAGGCAGACAGTCAGGCTGGGTGATGAGAAACAGAAACGTAAATTGCTCATTCCATGTCATTTCATCACGTGCCTCCTACTGCCCAAAATCCAAGCAAAAAAAAAAAAAAAGGAAGAAAACCAAATTCAGGTGAAAGATACACCTCTTAATAGCAACAGAGAGAGGAATACCAGTTTGTGGTGTCTCTGCTGTCATTAGTTTTCTCACAAAAAACAAAACAAAACAAAAACAGAGAAAAAAATGTTTTTAAATGTTTTTGTTGCATTGTTTTTTGAGGATTCATGTTTGCAAGTCCTTTATCCAATATGAAATTTTACATAAAGATGTGAATCTTAACCTTGGGATTTTTTTCAGGCAAAGGGGAGATTTTATTAAAGCTTATGAACTGTGATGGAGCCATACCATAACCATAATGCACATATAGCTAAGAGAGTAAGCTAAGCACTTCCATAACCATTAAACTAACCCATTAAACCATTATTCTAGTCAAAATATTCTATATTGTTGTTGTTCTTTAGGAAGCTCTTTGTCGTAACATACTTCCATCATATTTGGATAAAACAAAAAACACAGTTATTTTGTTAAATAAACACTGGGTAGATCTGACCAATAAACGTGTTACTAATTAGTATAAAATTATTATGAAGTATACCATATAAAGTATTAGTATAAAACTAGCAACTATCACCTGCCACTATTGCCGTTTTTAGGGGGTTTTCCTACCTGTGCAGTTTGGTCAGTTCAAGTCAAACTCTGGTTGAGAGGTGTCACACTTTGCGCTTGGTAACAGGAATGTCCTGTGGATTTTTTCCCACATTTTGGCTCACATGATAACAGTGTTTTAATGACCCACAGGAATGCTTCAAAAAAAGTATGACCAAGAGGGGTTAAATACTCTGGGCTGTCAGTTATTTTAGAAGAATCCTCCTGGATGCAAGGCAAAACAACTTCACATAGTCCAGTTGACTTCATTTTAACCACTCAAGGTGTGTTCAGTTGTGAATATGGGTATCACACTTAGACGTGGGCCAATATGAGTGGACAGAGACCCTTTAGTGGTTTTGGTCGGGTTTCAAACAAACTCCAAAGCAGTTTTTTATAGAACCATCCGACTCAAGTACTAGGTCTATGCTGCAGTTTTGAGTTAGACGACCCGTAGCCAGCCATGGTCTGCAATCTGGTGTGCAGCAGAGCACTACAGACACAGACTACAGTTCATCCTGAAATATCATCTAATATAATGAGTTTGTAAACTACAGGTATGAAAATGCCCTGAGAAGATTGACAAGAAATTGTTTGACTTGGTAGTTTTATGCTGAATTCCCTTCCTGACACGACAAGCAAACTTATGTCCCCGGCTGGAATCAAAGTTTACCACCACACTATGAAACCAGGTACTGATTTCTTCTTTAAATAACAGACAAAAAATGTACAAGAACACTGTAAATCCTTAGAAATGTTAGTGTAATGGTGGAACCTTCCCTACAGCTTCAAGCTGCTAATACCTTCAAATTTTCACTACTTTTTTTAAACTTTAGTATTAACGACTATGTGATAATTTTATTACTTGTTCAATCATCATCTGTAATTGTTACAAAATACAGTCTGTCATTATTATTATTTCAAATGAATAAATGATGACTAATCTTCAGTGTGGTTGTAGCACTTCTTCATTTTCTGTCCTATATGGATGAAATGTTGTTCTACTAGAAAGAGCAGAAAGACAGTTTTTTTTTTTTTTAGATTTGACAGTTTATTCAGTATATTTTCACACACTTTTAGAACAGGCTGGTTTAGTTGGATCACACACACATACACTCATACATACACGCTAGCTATTAATTTAGTATTACTACTAATTAGCTCCGTTGCCATTGTAATATTAATGGGTTTTAACAACTAATCTCTTCGGTGCTTCTTTCGACATCGCCGACAAACCTCATGCATACAGGAAGGACAGAAGAGATTACTAGAAGAGCATAGCATCCTTTAGACAGAGGGATGGATCCCTACAATAGAAGGAACAACAACACTTTCAGAAAATTAAATAATTTTGCTATACACCACAGGTGAAGCTGCTTACAGTTGCATCGTCCAAAAAGTGAAAATTGATCAAAGAGCCAAAAAGAGAGAAATTTGGTTATTCAAAAATCTAAACGGACTCTAGTCATGTTAAGATCTGTGTTTGTTTCACAGGGTAAGATAATAATAACAGGGTACAGACTCTGCATGACCAAATACTGACTGTACCATGACCATGACCAAACATTTGGTCATCAGACTTTAGTTCCAAATTTAGTCTTTTGTTAGCATCAATGTAGGCAGTTTTACATAAAGAGAACAGGTCACCCCAAAAATTAAAACATGATTCATTGCCTCCAAATAGCTCCTGCTCCTGGATCTCAGGATGGACTTCCATTTATAGCCCCCACCATTAGCAACTCTGATGAGAAGTTATGATGAGAATACAGAATTTAGCTTGTAACATTCGCCCACAATCTTCACGTAATCATCAAACAAGCATGCGTCTTTCTCCAGAAGTTAAATAAACCTGGTCTCTTCTGACTTCAGCCAGAATGTCAATGACGCAATAGGTCATCTGGCTTACAATCCATCACAATTCACTGCTTATTAACTTGAAAATAACAAACTGATCTTGACCTTAAGTACAGTTTAGGTGAAGACACATTAGTTGATCATTTTGTGCAAGTTCCACTAAAACTTCGCAAATACTTCAGGAAGAGTAGAGATTCTTGTGAACTATTAAGAGAAGGCAGATGCCTCAACATGGTCAAAGTTCAACGATCCTTTGGCCAGATGAGCTAAAATAACAAGATGGTATGGCCTTTAAGATAAGGAACCACAGAGTAAGATTACAGCAACTATGGTATACTTTTATAAAATGGTCTAAGAAAAAAACCATTTCAGTGGTTAGCCAATGGGCTGGGTAGGTGATCAGTTCCCTTTAATGGTTACACTACCTCAAATGTATGGAGTCAGAGAAAAACAGGAACTTAAATGCTTTTACATGGATACTTTTTGACTCTGTTTGAGCAAAAAGTTTAAAATAACATATTGTGACACTACAAACATGTGACCTGTCGATGCAAAACCTGTCAACGTGCTAGTAAATGTAAAACTCTTCAGTGCAAGAGAACACTTGTTAACATCTGATGAAAATGATAAGTCCCGGTTTAACTCTAACAAAAAGACAGAGACTGGGGTTTCCAAAAGTTATTCAGTTCTAAAATTAGCCTCACATTCAAGGAGACTGGGTACAATGGGTCGAAGATTTTATCCCCAAAACGCCAAAGGAGACAGTTACCATGTTGGCTTCCAAGAGCTTCAGTAAAAACTCTTGATGGTCTACATGTCACAGCTCTAAAGTCACAATCACACAGCTCTAGAGACTCTTTGACACTGACTGGCAACTCCTGGTTGCAAGGAAATATTTAGCATTTCCCAACTGGTTGCAAGTGGCTTAACAATGGCAAGTGACTTCTGGTAACCACTAGTTACCAGGGAAAAATGTGTATTCCCCAAACGGTTGCCAGGTGGCTGCTTGATGCTGCTTGGTAAAATAAGTCACAAGATAGAGATGATGTTGAGTCTAAAACCTTCTTGCCTTTGCTTTGGTTGCTAGGAGATTGCAGTGGTTGCGTGATGCAGAATTATCTGCAAACACTTATCACTGAGTGGCTTCGAAAATGAAAAGTGCAACATAAAGTTTAATAAGATTGTTTCCCTCCAAAGTAAAAGTTATGCCCTTTCAAACAAGATGGTATCAATGGTTTCTATTTCAGCCCCATGTTGCACTCTTCAGACCTTCAGAACCACCAGTGAGTAGTTTGCAACTGTTTGCAGACAAGTCTGCATCTTCAGTATAAACTACAGGAAACTGCTGCAATCTGCTAACAATCAAAGACATCACAAGGAGATTTCTGTTGCTGTTTGTGATCAATTTCAATGAGTTACCTCCAACAAATACTCCACATCTGGTTGGGAATGCATATTTTTACATACTGACTGGACCTTGCCAAGGTTCGCCAAGTGGTCTCTTGGCTTGTGTGACTAAGGAATTGTAAGGCAGATTAAAGAGCTCCACAGCTTTGGGAACCCGGGCTTGCAGACAGATTTCAGGCAACATTTCCCCAGTCATTCTGGTCAAAAGTCCACACAAACACACACACACATACACACACACAGAGCGAGAACAGCTCTAGCTAATGCTAAGTAGTAACAGTTGTCAAGTAGAAATAGCACTCATTAACCATGGAGATATATATAACCTTATTAGTTCAGGTATACAAAAAACTTCAAAACAAACCAAAATTAATAAACAAAACAAAAAAAACAAACACCACCAGTAACAACATTTACCACAACATCAACGGCTTGTTGTCATCCTTGAACTTTCTGGAGGTCCGTCAGCCACGGCAAACTCTTTGATCTCAATCCATAAGATGAATCCGTTCAGACTCACATAAGTCCAGGTTCAAAACCAGATATATGCACACTGATCCAAGTATTAATCCAGTCTTTTGTACGTTGGCTACCAAAACAGTCTGCTTCGCCATGTCCTTTGTATGGTGGGACACTGCTTCTGTCCATGACAGCGTCGTATATTGTGAGAGGTATCCGTATGGACACCTCTGCCAAGAAAGTTGTACATGAAGTACGTGAAATACATGTTGTAATGCAGCATGGACACAGGATTTAAGGATATCACCAGGTGAACCCTGCACCATGGGGACCTGACCATTCTCATGTCTTTGCTTTTTTTTAGGCAACAGTTAAACATTCCAACCTTTAAGAGTTCTGGTTTAAGCATTCACCTGCCAGTACGATCCAATAACACCACTGTGCACTAGTTCTCTTATTGGAGTCAACACACTTTCCAACACACTGCAAATTTAACACACGTCTGTGAAAACTTTCAAACGCAGCTAACATTAACAGGCTGCAAAAACAAGTGCACTTTGTGGGAGCAGATATGAAGGCATCTCACCCTTTGTGCTCCAACCAGTTCAGTTTTAAGAATCCATGCGCTACAATGCTACAACACAAGATAACAAAGTGACAGTATACATTTTTGAATTGTATGCATTCGACTTGATGTTATACACCGACACACAGAGTCTCACAAATGTGTGATGGCGCACTTCCATCAAGCGCGTTGGAAATTACTTGTGTCCTTAAAACTGCACAATTATTCTACTGCTGTCAGGTGAAAAAGAAAAGAAAACACAGACAAAGGTAGGCAGAATTTGCTTGAACCACAGTAGAAATCCAAACCTTACAGATTTTACAATCAATGATGATGCATTCTTACTATGAAGCCTTTCAGAGGTGGTTATTCTGCAGCTCTCTCTCTGGCTATTTACACACAGACTCTTGCTGAAAAATATTGCTTTTCACTAATTTCACACTCTAAGGTGACTTTAAACACATTAGCCATTACTATACAAACATTATTCTGTGTCACTGACAAAATATACTCTACCTTCAAGTCTTTTTGTCACAAAATATCAATATTGACATGTTTATTATGTGAAGAGTGTACGAAACATTAATTGGTACCAACCGCTGCCAAAAAAATAAATCACAGTTCTAGCCAGATTGTGGGGCATCATTTCTAAGGCCTTAAAATATCTTGACTTACTGGCAAAACGTTGATTGGAATACATTTACTTGATCCCATTTTACCAGGACAAAGGAGAGTTGTCTATGAATAAGAGGTGCATGAAGCGTAAAGCAAGATGCTACTGTTTAGATGTATTGTATCATCTGACCTCAAACTCAGTGAAAGAGGCAAAGAAGGCAAGACGGGAACCATGACGTGTTTCGTCTCTGCTGTGTTTGGCGCTTTGTTTCTCTCTAAACGTACCCATTGTTTGCGTTTATTTATGTAAGAGCTTTTCTCTGTTGAATGGCTGACGCACAGGAAGCCTGCCGATCCTGTCCACCCCGAAAATCTTCTACACACAATCAGGATCGCAGGAAAAAAAAAACATCAACAGAAAAAAGTAAATGAAAAATAAAAAAAGCGACCCACCTAATTCTACCCTTCTGACAGACTTTTTCATCAAAAACGTCCCCTTAATGAATGAATCAGCTTTCCTGCTGTCAGTCAGCGTGAATCATCCGCCTACATCAGCCTCTCTTCAATTCCAAACCAGCCAATTTGTCCCCAGCACATTGCCAAACCTACGTCATCCCCCAAGACGAGCGAGGCATCTCTGGCTACATGTCCAACTATTTAAAGTTCCTTATTTTTTTTTATTAACCGTGGACAACATAATTTCTGTGAGGGGTGTGATGCAATCTACAGCGACAATCTGTGCAGTCTTAATTCAGTATTAATGACGAATTGTGACAGTCATCGGATCGGCTGAGTTTCTCTCTGAGCATTTAAATCCTCTGCATCACTAAAACAGCATTAATCTGCTAGTCTGCTGAATTTGGGGGAAACAACCACTTTTTAAGGTTTCTGGTGTAGCCAACAAAAGTCTGTATCAAGACTACTTCTGCCCATGAGTCATTGGTCTACAAATGCACCAAAACTTAGGCTAGCAAAAGCCTAAAAGCTAATGATTTTGTGGTTTTGCAAGTAAAATTACACAAATCCAATCCCTGACTGTTTGCCTTCATGCAACTTGCTGTGCAAACATGGTTAGAAAAATGAACTTGAAGTAGAAACCAAAATTATTAGCAATTATCATCAAGTGTTTGATGACTGCATGCAGCATATGTTTTGTAGATATTTAATGGCATGTCCATCTGCTGTCACAACCAAACCATGACTGAGATGGTTATTTGTTTAATGGAAACTAATAATGTCATCAATTACTTTGTGTTTACAATTTTTGTTGCTGGCTAACAAATTACTCCATCTGTTGTGAAAGCCTCCAATGTACATGAGTTAAAATCACGTTGGAACTGAAAACGTCAACCTCAAGACGATCCTACAATCAGAGTTAAGGTTAACTCTAACTGTAACCCTAATGTTTTGAATAAAGAAAACTATATTTTTGCTAGTTTCAAGTTTTGTGTCAGTTTTTCTTTTGCCCTGGATGCCAAAGCTCAGGAGAACAACTTTCAAAAGCTAAAAAAACCTATTGTTCAATACCACAGATTAGATTTTAGGGTTTAGTTCCCACTTTACAAAGACTTTCCTGTAACTGTGAACGCCACTTAATGGATGTGCAGATCCTTTACGATTGGGTGCTTCAGATAATGCTCCATAATCTTTGTTAGAGATATAGATTTTCTTCATAAATAGGCAACTGTCCAAAATGAAGTAATAATGGATGGGTAGAAATTTTAGAGGCCGCTTTTGCAGCACCATCTAAATGAGATAAAATTAGGGAGATGGGGCCCACCTAGCTGACAACAGCTCTGCAGTGTGGTAGTCCTAAAACTTCTCCAACATTGCATGGTATTTGAGTGAAAACCGCTCTTGTACCTGGATATGTCAAAAGTTGGCACAAGGACTCTTTATGATTCCAACTCATTTTAAGAAACTCTCAAGTCAGCCATCTAAAAATTGTGCATGCCTATTAACGGGACCTATTTTATCCTCAGTCAAAATCACATTTAACTAAAGCCTTTCCAGTTACAGAAAGATTTAAGGGTAAACACTATCGATCAGTTCTTGTTGTCTGGAACCCCTGTCTGGATGGCAAATGACCCTACTTATGTCAGTCACACTGTCTCCATGACAATGACGACTTCGCCGCTGTCCTCAGATGTTGGTGTTGTGGTGGCGGTCGGAGTACACAGTGTAAGTCCTTCCTCTGTGGTCACCTGACCCCTTGCAGGGCAGTCCACACTGTCATGGAGATCAGAGTCACTATTTCTTTTATCTCTCTCCCCTCCATTTCCTCTCCTGCCACCTTCCTCCTCCTCCTCTTCATCCTCCTCCTCTACTCGACACCTGCACACCTCGATCCCAGAGTCACCTGTGAGTCGCCGGTGTCTATACTGGCTCTCATCAGCTCCCATGTCCTCATCGTCGTCTTCGTCATTGTCCTTCTCCTCCTGGTCCTCGTCCTCATTCTCCCAACTGGGTGGTCCTGGCTCAAAGACATCCACGCAGGGGGAAAACAGAGTCTGTTTTGGTGGAGACTGAGTAGCACGAGGTGATGGTGAGAGGGAGGATGCGTGGCCAGAGGAAGATCCACCTTTGTCAGACTGGTGGAAAGCAGTAAGGGGGTCCAGAAGTAAGGCTGGAGCAGGAAGGGAGGTGGAAGAAAGGGCTTGAAGAGTTAGGGGAGGAGGAGGAGAAGTAGAAAGGGATGGGGGTGAGGATGGGGAGAGAGTCGCAAGGGGTGACTGACAAGTAGCATAAGAAGATTCAGACTCTATGGTTATAGCTGGGCAGGGGGAAGCAGTGGACACTTGTTCTGAGAAAGTGAGAAGTGGTGTAGGGGTGGACAGAGGCTCAGACTCAGAACCAGCCCCAGGGCGCAATTCAAATCCAGAACAAGAACCAGAACTAAAACACGCCTGGGCATTTGAAGGCAATGGAGGAATATGGTCAAACTCAGACAATCGAGGCGGGACCAGAGAATGACCTGAATGATCTGTTTCTGCAGTTGAATCCAGGCAAGATGTTGAAACAGCAATAGACCCTAAATGCTGGGATAAGTGTGACCCAGGGCTGGGATGACCCTCGACTAAACCTGATCCAGGTGATAGTTCTAGGTTCTGGCACTGAGTTAGGATGGGTAAAGTTGGTGCTGCATCTGTGACTAGGGCAAGATTTGCATGCCTTGGAGACAGAAGGCTATTAACTGGTGAATCTGCAACTACCCCAGCTTTAGGCTGTGGATTTGGAAGCAGGATATGATCTGAAGTTACCAAATCTGGAGGTTGTGTAAGCTTTAGAAATAGTGATTGTGGTTCCTGACCTTGTGTAAACTTTGTATGTTCTTGGACTGGAGACTGGGTAAGCTTTGTAGGTGATGGAATTGGTACAAGAGTTGGGTCAGGAGTTAGGCAACCAGAAACAGAGCTTGCTATTGGAGACAAAGTTCTTCCAGCATCTGGTGATGGAACTGAGGCTGGGCTATTAGGAGAACTGACTGTATCAAAAGTCCTTGTTAAATTTAGTGTTTCCAGTGATTTTATGGTTATAGAAGAGTCAGAAGCAGTTGGGGTAGGAAGCCTTGACATTAAGGGAATCTTTGGGGTATCGTTTTGGACAGTATTGGTGTCCATTGCTGGGCTTTGTATTATTTGGATGGAGGGGAGTGCTGTGTCAACAACATTTGGACTAGGGAGTGTACTTGAGCTACAGGTGCTGACTATTGGGGTACATGGTGCTATGTCAAGCTGCTGCTTTATGGGAGATGTAGTCCCGACTGGGAGGGTGAGCTGAAAACCAGGTGAGGGTGGAGGCTGAGGGGAGGCTGCCCTGGTAACAACTGCCACAGTAACAGTCTGGTTGGAAACCGATGAGTTTGTGGCAACTGCTGTATGAGCTCCAGCACCGCTTACGTCAGCAACGTCAAGGACCATCCTCTCAGAAGCAACCTGCGTCTCCTTTGAATTCAAGTAGGTTGCAGCTGCAGAGATGGTCTCCATGGTGACATCAAGGGTGAGAGGCGTGGCTTCGCTGGGTGTGGAGGCATGGCTAGTGTCAGTCTCATATGTAATGGGTGCCGACAGGGAGGAGCTACACGGAGAGGAGGGGCAGCAGGAATCACAGGAACAGCTGGAGCTACAGGAAAGATTTACAGATATTGAATAACACCTGAATATTATATACTAAAGCTGCAAAAATCCAACTCATAAGGTAAACACAGTAATCAGTGACAGAAAAATTGTTTGAATGGTATTATCAGTACTGAAAATGCTACGTTGATGAACAAAATGAACCTTCTGGGATTTTCTTACCTGGATTGAACGTGCATCAAGACGGTATTATCAGTAGTTTAAATAATAGCGGTAGCAAAAATACTGGGAGTAGCTATTATTTGTGATAGTACCACTAATACCAGTGACACTTGACGTTACACTTGAGCTGAGGTAGGAAAAGCGCCTGGTTCCAAATCAGTAATTACTGCTACTTTTGCTGTTGCGGTAGTAGTTATAGTAGTATCACCACTTGTACTTCCTGTACCATTAGAAAAACTCTTACCTGTTGTCTGAGCTGAGGGAGGACGGCCCATCGCTGTGCGGCCGGTGCAGCAAGGGACCGTGTTGTGTGAGCAGATGGGGGTCGGCGGTGCGTGGAGGTTGAGGGTATCGAGGGGTGGTGAAGACGGAGCTGTAAGGAGGAGGAGGAGTCGAGGGCTGAGCTGCCACCTCCTCATAGGAAGGCAACTTCAGGGATGCCAAGAAACCTACAAGCAGAAGAGGGAAGGAAGGTTAGCACAAAGACACTGGTCAGTGGCCCTTTTCTTTTGTTTTTTTCTACATTTGTTTTGATGTAATGCACCTAGAGGGCAGTGGGATTGCTTTTTTTAAGCAGTCCCTCAGCAGGTTGATAGTGGTAACTTTGTTAAACTGAACTTAATAAAAGCCCAACTCAACAAAAGTGCTCTCTCCTGCAGCCATGTCAAAAGGTGGAAACCAAGATTCGAAAATCTTGTCCTATTTAGCAATATTTTTTCTATAGAATGTGAATTCATTTGTATTCCTAGACATGCAAGATATCATGGTTTTCCAAATAAATAAACAATACCCCCCCTGCCAAGGGGGGCGCTACAGCGAGTAGCTCCACAAATTAGATTTTTTACGCTGGACTCCCAAAGCGGCTTTTATCCCCTCATGGGTAATTATAAATTACGCCTGGGTGATCTACCCCAAAAAAGTCCATACCCGAGTTTAAAAGACGATCGAGGTGTTGTGGTCCAGCAAGCATCTGTGATTTATATGACGTAGCCTTGATCTGAATTACAATAATGACAAGTGGGCAGCTTGATGCCGAGGCTCTACAAACAAAACCTGATGCATTTACAGATGCACTTCTCTTTGGAGTGCATTTTAGCACAAAGTTTCTGAAAACCTTTGGTCTATGTAACTCATTATGCAGGCAAGATATATGCTAATGGAGCTTTTTCTGCCAGCTGTAGACAGAACAAGTGATGAAGACAGTGTGATTTATCTGGAAGTAGCAAGACACTTAGAATTCTTTGATCATGCAAACCCACTGCATGGGGTGGGTGTAGCAGAGGAGGATGCTAGGGGACAGGATGAAATGGAGGAAGATGATCTGCTGTGACGAACCGCAAAAGGGTGCAACTGCATAAGGCAAATTCATAAAAATCAAACAAACAAGAAGTGGTTCAATTGTGATGCCACTTTAACTCGATTAGCACAGCGTTAGCATGATCCAACATCTCCTAGCTTGAGTGACCCCTGCTTCTACTTCAGCATATTGGAAAATGACTGACTGCATAATAAGACTTCAGTAAATTAACCATTCATTTGTGCTATTTTGCAGACACAGACCAAGAATGGGATGTGTGGAAGTGATGCATCACATGAAGATCTACTGCAACTTTAATTTTTCTCTGCAACACTTGAAGAAATGTGCTGAAAACCTTTTTAAACATATAAAGAAGCAAAAGTACATAGACTGTACACAGCTGAAGCCTAATATGCATTAAAATGAGCTGATATGTAGCGCCCAGTGAATATTTTTAAGTCATGCAAAAAATTATTCCAACGTTTAAAAGAAAAGAGAAGAAAAAGAAGAAAAGAGGGTAAACGTCTTCACAGGAATCATTCTTTAAGGCCTCCACACTGTAAATTTCCACTGAGTCGTCACAGCCACAGATTACAAAAGCGGCACGTCACTTGACTTGACAGCCGAGCATCAGTCACAAACAAGAACAGGCTTCATTGTCTTGATGCTGTGAGTGGAGTTTAGAGGCAGCTCTCATACAGACAGAGATCCCAAAGGTCCTAGAAAACCAGAAACCTATGGTTTTCCAGCCTCTGTTGTTTTGTAACAGTGCTCGGAGCTTCAGAACGAAGCCTTTTTTTTCTCCAATCAGCCAGAAAAAGATGAAGTTTGGAGCATCTTATCTTTAACCTTCTGTCCAGTTTTGACGAGTCTTGTTGTGGCTGGTTCTCGCTTTAGCCCTGCTGTGATGAGGTACGGATAGAAAAAAAACAAGCCTAATCTAAACACCTCATTTTTCAAATAGCCACTGAAAGCATCCAGAAAACACAGATTCAGGTTTCTTACTGAGGTCCAGCATAGAGGAGGGGTAGGAGTTGGCTCCATGGTAGGCCAGCAGGCTGATCTCTCTCTGTCTCTGCTGCTGCTGGACTCTGAGTTTGGCTCGACGGTGTCGGTACGCACAGCAGCAGCTGAACAGGATGAGGACGGTCCACAGCAGCCAGAACCCTGAACACATCACACACACACAGATTTCATTGTGATCATATGAAAATCTTCATTGACTTTAAATGTTTAGTCACATACAAGAATAAGTCCTTATATACAGAACCAAATAAACCAACGATGACATGACGTGATGCAAAGCATTGTTGTTCATCTGAAAATGTATGAGAGTAATTTACAAAGTGCAGTAAATGCTCAGAGTCTACAGGAGCTTGGCAGAGAGATTCAAATATTCTGGGAAAAGTGAAACATGAGGAAACTGTTTTGTGGGTTCTTGTACAGTGAGAGCTCGGACCACCACCCTGTCACATAAGTCTCATTATTGGTGGGTGTTGAACACCATCAAGGGCGCCATTTGTCACCAAATCTTCTGGTTTTTTTAGGCGCAGCCAACAGCAGAGATGTGGAGGACCTCTCTGCTGCTGTGCTGGGTTTATCATGCGTTGACCTCCAGTAAACTGTGGGGCGGTTTGCTCTGGAGTGTAACATGGCTTTAATGGGAAGTGGCACATCTAAGTTGAGGAGTAGGTGCTGACTTGCTGGAGCGCATGCAGACGCGTCTGTGTGGTCACAAAAAAAAAGGTTGACCCTCACTCTCGCCATCTAGTGATTAAATTCACATCACTCAGATTCGCATGTACATAAACTGAGTCGAGGACAGGAAGCAAAATTGAAACTTTAGGAAATCAGCCATCTGGGAGGGACTAGGGGTTTCTACTTCTTTACATTTAAAGGAGCCATGAGAAGTTCAGGCATCTGATCATGTGATGCCTCATTGGTGAGTTCGGCTATGTTGGTTATGTCCAACTGGGACAAGAGCTGGGGGATTTGGTCAGGTCCTGTTACCTGGACGAGCAGCAGAAAAATGTTATCAAAGGTTGGAAATCACACAAAAGCTATCTAGTTTGCATCCAGAAGAATGAAGTTGTGATAAAAAAAATGAACAAAAACATAATTAACTTGTTTTCCTAAATGCTAATATTATAACAGCCTTGTTTTGAAAGAGATAATTCACTCATACTTTTCTATAAAAAATTCAAGTCAGCCCATTAAGCGGTTGTTAGTGGTTTGATATTCTTTTTCTGTTAAATAAATAAATAAAAATCAGCTAACTGTAAAGCAGCAGCAAGTAAAGCAGGCTTCCTTTATTATTATTCAGTACAAGCACTCCTACAGCTGCATACATGCATGTATAAGAGTGACAGACCCAATTAGGAGTGCAAAATTATGCTGAGACAGCACCTTAAGTCACCGCTACATTACACTGAGCCTTAATAAATGAACTTACACCAGAGTTCGTAGTAGTAGGTGCAGCAGCCGGTCTCTCCGCAGCAGTGTCCTGTCTCACACAGGTATCCTCCGTTAACGCTGGCACCCGGGCAGTACCGCGGTCTGCCCAGCAGGGGCTGGCTGCCACCGGAGTGGTACTCCATAGCACCCCTGCTTCATGCACACTTAGCCCCGAGCCACCGCTGCCTGCTCGCCGCAAGCCGCTAACTAGGCGTTAGCTGCTAAAACGTGTGATCCCGGTTGCAAATCCAGCTACATTTTTTCATGTAATCTGTTTTGTAGCCAAACTTTACTTCAGGAGCAGATAGCCTGTTATTCTTAAATTCTGGTCAGTCAGTAAATCCAAATAGCTTCAAAATTAAGCTAATCTACATTTTCAGCGCAGGTGAAACACCTAAAATGATAGATTCAGGCAGTTTCAGCGACGCCTCTGTGATAGCAAATTACTGAGCTTATCACCAAGAAGGACCAGAAACCAGGCGGGAACTTCTGCATCCAAAGAGAGACCGACGGGGCAGAGAGGGGCTTCCTCATCCGTTAGCACCACTCATGCACGATTTAAAGGCTACAGAACAGCAGCACCTACACCACCCTCATGTGACAGCTACTAAATCCTGTTAGTACTGCAGCTGCAAGAGAGCGCTGGGGAGGAGACAGGATGACAGCCAGTAGGAGGCTCTGAACTGGAGAGAGAGGAAAAAAACAAGAAGAAAACAATAGTTAATTGATAAGAAACAAGACAGGGTGTCTCTCTCTCTCACACACACACACACACACACTACTACAGGCCTGTTTGATATTCATTGCCGCAGCGAGTCAAAGCACAAGTGACACAAAGCTGCCACTCTGTCCATGTCACACACACACACACGTGTTTGCACTTGTGTCCTTGTGAGAACCATTGCTGGCATAATTCACCGCCAGAGTCCCACCCAACTCTGATGGACGGGCTCACACACAGGGACAGAGGATCAACATTTAAAAAAACTTCAGGTGAGAAAGTAAAAGTGGCACTGAGACATGAGAGTAACGTTAATGAGTAGCAATTAAAATAAACTGCTGATGTTTGCAGTCATGGTAAAAAGAAAGTACATCTTCATTCTTATTCTAATTTTTTATGAATCTGAGCATATAAAAATCTTCCAGTTCTTAGGTCTTAAAACTATTTAAATACATCCTAAGATGAACAACGGCTCACAGCTTATTACACGGTTTCATTGTTTGTTTAACGTAACTCTAGCAGTAATGCAGAAGCAGTGCATGAAAAAAGTACACCCTTACAGGAATTCAGAGGCTAAGCAGCAGCCAGCTGCTGATAATCAAATGCACTTGATTAAAGTCATCATCAGGAAGCGTGAGCACCTCTCTGAAAGCAGGCGTTCTGGTGGTTTGCTGGTCTGCAGCATTCAGATGTGTGTTAACACAATGTCGAGGAGTAAAGATATCAGCAACAATCTTAGAGCAGCAACTGTTGATATCAAATGGGAAGGGTTATGAGGATATTTCCAAACAATCTGAAGTCCATCATTCCACATCATTTTCTGAAATGGAAAACACTGAAGGCAGCTGACAATCTTTCCATGAGTGGACATCACAGCTAATTCACCACAAAATCAGAGCAACATCTCAGACTCGTCAGGCCTCAGTTAGCATGTTAAACATTAAAGTTCATGACAGCACAATCAGAAAAAGACTGAACAGGTGTGCCAGGAAAAAGCCTACTCTCTCTAAAAAGCACACAACAGCACGGCTTAGGTTTGCTTCTGAAAAAATCTATTTTTCAAGACTTCTAGAACAAAGTCCTTTGGACAGATCAGACCAAAGCAGAGACGTTTGGCCATAACGTAGAAAACCAAACACAGCACATCAGCACGAATACTGCTTCATACCAACTGTCAGCATAGTGGAGGATAGGTGATGATTAGGGCTTGTTTTGCAGCCCAGGACCTGGGCACGGTGCAGTCATTGAGCAAACCATGAACTCTTCTATGTCAGTGTTTTCCAACCACTGTACCGTGGCATATAGGTGTGCCGTGGAAGATTATCCGGTTTCACCTGATTGGTACTCTAAGGCTACGTTCACACTGCAGGTCTTAATGCTCAATTCCGATTTTTCGATCCGATTTTTTTGGTCTGGTTGTTCACACTACAAATAAAATGTGACAACAAACGCCCTCTAGTGTGAACCCTCAAAGCGGCCCGCATGCACAAAAGAAGACGTCACACACAACACGCTCTGTTTACAGAAGTAAATATGGCGGCTACAGAGCTAGTAGGTGTTGTTGTAGCAGTCTATCAATTTGTGAGCAGTCGTAACCGACAGAATTTTGACAAATTAATTAGAGAAAGAAAGACACTGAGAAAAAAGAGAGCCCATGCTTTAACAATGGCCTTGTTTGATGCAGTGGCTGCTACTTCCGTGCAGAGGTTTGTCTTCTTTGGCGCTGATAATTGGCGTCTGTCTTGTGTCAGTGACGTAAAAGATGGATTTAATGCGACATGACCATTCAAACAGCAGTTGCTTTGTAAAACACCAGTCATGTATCAGATTCAGTACCACATACGAAAGTGACCCAGATCGGATTTGAAAAAATCTGATTTGTGCTGTTCACACTGTCATACCATGATCGGATATGGGTCGCATAGTGTCAAAAAAGTCGGATTTGATGCACTTTCACCTGCAGTGTGAACGTAGCCTTAGTGATCGGCATGAGTAACAGGCAGAACAATTGCATTCTCTTCCACTAGAGGGCAGTGCAACTACCTGCTCTAATTAAACAAGTTGCCATCTGCCAGTAAAACAGAAGAAGATGAAGAAGGAATGACATAATAGTCATGCTGCAAGTGAGATGATGCAGCTCGTAATAGCAATAGATAAGTATTTGAAAAGAAAAAGTAGTCAATCTGACCTGGGTCCTGGAGAAAATTCTGACCCAGATGAAGGCCCTAGCATGAGTACTGGTCAGAAAAAAAAGCAAAAAATGAATACTGGGGACAAGCCGAGCCAACTCAGCTATACCTGGTGTGCCGTAGGGCTGCCCAATTAGTCGACTAGTCACGGTCGACGACTAATTTAATAGTCGACGCGTCATTTGAAGCTTTGTAAGATCCCAAAAGACGCAGAAATAAGTAGTAGGATTTAAGCGTGTAATAACGGACTGAAACAGAAGATGGCAGCACTGCATGTACAAGGATGCCAGCTGCCGTTAAACCCTGAAGAAGAAGAAGCAGTGTCTGGTATCGTAGCTGTGTCCAAATTCAGGAACCACATCCTCCTGTAGCCGCATTTGTAGGCCTATTACGTTACAGCGACACGACGAAGACTGTCCAAATTCGAAGACTTCGACAAATGCAGCCGACAAATGCGCCCTTCATTTCCCCAGATTTGAAGGATGGGTTGGGTGTATTCTTTGTGGCCCAACCTATCCCAGAATTCATAGTGCGGCCCTGCTCAGTTTACAACAACGGCGGCAGCTAGTTAGTTTTAATATTACTCTTATTATTCTTTCTGGGTCACAAAATAAACGTTTAGCATATTTTCAGGCGAGAATGTAGCTGTGTAAACTTCAAATATCTGCTCAGTTTATCAAGACACCACATATTTTCAAAAGCGCTCCAACGTTTTCGGAAACGTCTGTTACCCACCAGCTCGATAGCGAGCCGGGGTTCAAGGCTCACTAGAGCCCGTGAGAACACCGGACTCCCGGCAAATCGTTTTTAAAACCACCGCCGTCTTTCACTACTCAAGTTAAACATGATATATAAGTCACTTAGGTAACTTAAAAATGTTATTATTTGGATTTTTTCAGTGTTTTACTTGTTCCTGAGTAAATCGGTTTGGCTGAGATTAAAGTTATAGAATAAACGTCAAACAGAAAACTGATTAAACAGAAGTGTGAGATGGTCGAGAATATACTCCGCTGTCCTGTTATATTTTAGCGAGCGAGAAGCAGACGGCTGAGTTTATTAAACTCCACTGAGACAATCTGCGAATTTCATTAAAATTTAATAAACTATCATCTTGTCTTTATTTTTAGTTAGCACATACATTAAACACTTAAAGCTGTAAGCTAATGATAGTTATATAAGAGCAGATGCATGCTGGTGCAATAAGCTGTACGTTTTACGTCCAATGGATGATGATCTGATTAGTCGACTAATCGCAAAAATAATCGGTGACTAGTCGACTATCAAAATAATTGTTTGTGGCAGCCCTAGTGTGCGGGGATAATTATCAATATGGTTTTTGTGACATTTTTGTTTAGGTGGTGTGCCATGTGATTTTTCTGATGTGAAATATGTGCTGTGGCTCCAAAAGGTTGGGAAACAGTGACCTATATAACAAAGTATTCTGGAGTCAAATGTGAGGCCATCTTAATTCACGCAACTGGACAACGATCCCAATAACACCAGCAAATCTACAACACAACAACTGAAAAACATAATAACCAGTGTGCTGCAGTGGCCCAGTCAAAGTCTAGACAGCAAAGTGGAAAGCTGCCATTAGTCCTAAAGAGTGCTGAAACAATGCTGTCAAGAAGAGGCGACGTGAGGAGCTGATAAAGTCATACAGGACATCAGAACCACCTTTGGCTGCAAACTATGAAATCATGGGGTGGGCTTAGATTCTCACACACTGCGTCTTCATTTTAGCTTTATTTTTGTTAAATAAAATGTAATAAGGAATGACAGCACAATCACATCACATGGTTTGTTTATCTGAGCTTGTAAATCCTTAAAACTGAAAGAGATTTTTTTCACGTCTGCAGGAAGTCTGTTTTCACTGGTGTAGTTAAGGAAAATGAAATTAGCGACATCCCGATGTCTCTCTTACTCGTGGCTCAGTTTTTGAGGACGCTTTTCCTTTTTTGCATGTAAAATAAATGTTTAGCTAAAAATTTCTGGCAAGATTCACATTCCCCTCTGTACCGTCCGATGAGTGAGAGACACTGCGCTGCTTCTAACTCATTTCAGTATAGACCCGTTTATTGATTAATCAATAAGAAGAAAATTAATCTGTGTACGTAAAACAATCTTTAGTTTCAGGTTCTCAGTCGTGTCTAATGCTCCAGCTGGTGGAGAAGTAAACTGAAAAAAATAACCTTTTTAAAAGAGATTTGATTGTGAAATTTGTTTTGTTTTTGGCGTTTTATTGTAACACTATATTACAGAGCAAACATATCACCATACCACAACAACAGTCACCTGAAGGCACTTTATATATAAGGTCAAGACTCTGCAATAATAACAGATTATTCAGCAGCAGCTGGTTGTAGCCTGATCACATTGTACTCTGTATCAAACAGTTATGTCTTTAAAATGAAGTTAATTTTCATGTTTCTATTATACACAAATACACCAGCCGAATATCATTACCACATTCTTGACTACCATCTATAAACAAGATGGCAGAAAAGATAAACAAAGCCAAAGCACAGAAGTGTTGAAAACTGCTTAATTCAAAAGTAAATCAGACATCCAACTCTGCATTGGTTTATGCATCTAATTTCCCCATTTATAACTGCATTGCTATAACTCATTGATTTCTCTTATTTTAAGAAGGACGTGACATCTGACTGAGAGTTCCTAAAATGCGATCATACTTGTTTTTCTTCAGCAAGCAAAGGAGGAATTCATAATGCAAACATTAACAGTGATTCTTTTTTTGTGTGTGGAATAAACTTAAACCCTCAAAAAAGCCCTGTAGAAAGGTAAAAACCAAAATGTCCTCAGTACGTATAGATGTCCTCACTCCCTAAAACTCAGTGGTCCCCACACTGACAGATGGACAAGTGGACAAACACAGTGCTGCAGAGTTCACAGGAAAAGCTGGTGGTCTGTACAGGACTTTCTTTACTGGGCCAAGTTCTAGCTGCATTCTGCAGTACTACAAACACGCGCGCGCACACGCACTCACACATTCTTTGCAGCCTGGTAAACATGATGGCTGATGGTCAGTGAAGGCAACACGCGCGCACACATAAAGGCCATATGTGTCCATACAGAGAGACGTCAGTAGTAAACACGTACACGTTATTTATGGCCGCAGAAGCCTGGAGCCGCTGACTGAACGCAGGTTTTACTCAGACCCAGGCAGTCTGTAGACGGACCCCCCTCAGCTGCCGTTAACGGTAAAACCCCCCGGTAGCTCATAAACAAAAACAGCCCTACCGCTCCGTCCGTCCGCCCGTCCTCCACTGGGTCAGTCTGCGGGACTGGCTGCTTCTGCAGTCGGTGTGATTCCTGTTTGTCTGCCGCGGTGTCGGTGCTGGGTACGCCGGGGCCTCCTCTCTCAGTCTCTCTGGTCCCCCGCCTCCTCGCGCTCCCTTCTCAGTGCGACCCTCCGCCAGCCCCGCCGCCATCAGCGCCAGCAGAACGTCAAGCATGCACAGCGCGAGACCACACACCTCCGCCCTGTCACCACTGTTCCTTTCAAAGTAAATACCTCTTTTAAAAAGTGCAACAGAACTAATGTGTATTTTCATAACTGTGCCACAAAATGCAAACCAGTCAACTAATCACGAAAACTTTGTTTTTTTACCACTTTACATACACATCTATGACAAGTCTCTGAAAGTCTGACCTGATGGATTTTACACTCAAATATGGGTTTTCTTGCATGCACCATTAAACAGAGAGCATTGGGAAAAACGAAAACAGGAATGAGGGGTGAATTTGTACAAGCCATGGAGTTCCACAGGGCTCTGATATAGAGCCTATACTTCTTGTTCATGTTTAAATTATATTCTTGTTAAAAAAAACAACGACAACAACTCGCAACAAGTGATCGATGGGTTATTTTTCCTTCTATTCTTTTTAAATAACTACCTTATCAAATTATATTCAAGGTTCAAGGTTCAAGGTTCTTTATTTGTCACATGCATAGTTATACAAGTATAACACACAGTGAAATGTAGCCTGACACGCTCCTCGACATGTGCAAAAAAGAATTGGGGGGGGGGGGGGGGGGGGTGTAGAGGAAAAACATTATATATATATATATATATATAGTACATACATTGGGTGAATATGCAGTAGTAGCAGCAAGCAGGTGAATTCTGTACATTAATATGAATAGACATCTGACTATTTTACAGGATAGACAATATAAACATATTTAAAATTAAAGGAATTGAAATGTACATTGTGCCTTGGTTTAGTGTCTGGAAGAGTCCTGTCTCAGTCAATTATAGATGATGTGAGAGGGCAGGTGTGTGTGTTTAGGGCACGGATGGCTTGGGGATAGAAGCTCCTCTTGAGTCTCTCTGTCCTTGCCCGGAAGATGCAGAACCTTCTACCAGATTGCAGAAGTTGGAACAGTTTGTTGCCAGGATGGGACGGGTCCTTCAGTATCTGCGCTGCTCTAGTTCGGCATCTCCTGGTGTAGGTGTCCTGAAGCGGGGGGAGAGCAATCCTGCAGCAGCGTTCTGCTGTACGGATCACTCTCTGGAGAGCTTTTTGGTCCTTCACACAGCTGTTCCCAAACCACGATGTCATGTTCTGTGTGAGGATGCTCTCCACAGCGCCTGTATAGAAAATCCTGAGGATCTTTGGAGAGACCCTGAACTTCCTCAGTTGTCGTAGGTGATACAGGCGCTGCCTAGCTTTTTTGGTCTGGACCTGAATGTGGGCAGCCCATGTCAGGTCTGAGGAGATGTGGACACCAAGATACTTGAAGGACTGCACCCTCTCCACTGGAGCTCCATTGATGATAATGGGCTTGTAGTCTCTGTGCTTACTCCTTCTGAAGTCCACCACCAGCTCTTTGGTCTTGCCGATGTTCAGCTGGAGGTGGTTGTCCTGGCACCACGATGCCAGATTCTTCACTTCATCCATGTAGGCCGCCTCATCGTTGTTGGAGATGGCACCCAACACCACTGTGTCGTCAGCAAACTTCACAATGTTGTTGGAGCCATGGGTGGCCACACAGTCTGAAGTGTAGAGGGAGTAGAGCAGTGGCGAGAGGACACATCCCTGAGGTGCTCCTGTGTTGATGGTGATGCTGTTGGAGAAGCACCTGCCCACCCTCACCACCTGAGTTCTGCCAGTGAGGAAGTCCAACACCCATGCACACAGACGGCTGTTAAGTCCCAGATCCCTCAGCTTTGTGAACTTTGTGAGCTTTGTGCAGGGCACTATTGTGTTATATTAAGGCTTAAAATGTACATGATGTACATGATGGGGGCGTGGTACTTAATTCTGATCTTATTCAATCAACATTATTGGCGGTACGCAGCCCCATAGACAGGAGGCAGTAGGGGCCTTCGACACCTACTAGTTTATTAGAAGTTTTTTTTTTAATCATCCATTCACATAGATGACCACTAACAGAGGTATAGGAAGACTCCATAATCTGTTGCTGCTGGCTTCCAGTTGATAAGGCAATATTTACAGGTAAAATTATTTAAATGGAGAGCATAACGTCCATTGAATGGACTGATAATGATGAGCCAAAGCAGGTGCTTTGACAGTGGATGGCAGCACGGGCTGACTTCAGTTAGCCTGCGCCACCTGAACTGTGTTTGTGCTGTTGATGCCTTTTAATTTTAATGAAAGTCCATTTTAATGAAAGTATCTGACAAATAACAAGGCTGCTGTGCAGTTAATTCTACTAAGAGGTCATCTAAGATGTCTGTGCTCTAGTAATAGTGAATTAAATTCTAGGATTTTATTCAGATCTTGCCTAAAACCACCATACTGGCAGTGAAAAAGCTGTGGCTTCAAGATTCAAAACCAGTGAGTGAAATCATGGTGGCTACATCGTGTAGACTCCAAACATTTTGGTCAGCATTTGCCAAGCCAACTGTATAAATGAAGTTGGCTTGGGGCCTGGAACCTGGAACAAGAGCCTGGAACAAGAGCCTGGAACAAGAGCCTGGAACAAGAGGAGACTAATGTGCAGAGTAGCAACAGCAAAATGTTTAGAAAGATATGCACAATATTAACTGCAAATACAGTATTAATACAGTATTAACAGATATGCGGTTAAAGTAAAGTACCCCATGAAACTATATACTATATATAATATAAATATTAAAAATATAAAATATGTTTTAAAGAAGTGTTTGTATATTTTAAGTTATTAGTGTAATATAAAAGAATAAATCTGTGTAGAGTCATGTTGTTTCATGTGGTTTTTTTTTATATAAAATACGAGTGTATATCTAAAGTAAATATAATGTTTCACATGGCATCATCGAAAGACAGTTTCACCTTTATTCAGTTTTTTATGCAGCAAAGTCGATACATTTGTAGCGTCGCCCATTGCGAGTTTTATTTTGTAAAAACCATGAAACTAAAACGGAAGTTGTGCGTGTGCGCTTTTCTCTGACTGCACCGCCACGAGCCAGCAACAGCTGCTGCTGCAGCACATCCCTATCGGTGTGTCGGTGAAAGCAGGAGAGAGAAAAAAACACACCTCACCGACGAGGACGTGTCTGTATGTTCATCAAGAAATAATCAATTATATCGACATGTCCTCGCGCGCAGGTACAGAAAACCTCAGACCAAAGGCACGTTCAGGTTTCACAGGAAATAAACAGGTCCTAACAATAAATCTTAGTATAGAAGAAAAAAGAGGACCATGGTTTCTCAGTACGGACGCACTGGTATCTGATTGGCTCGAGGTGGCGGGCTGGGAGCCAATCAGAACACCTTGAGGGATTTTGCCGGTCCTAGCAACAAGAAGAAACACCAAAGGGTTTCGCACTTTTCTCAAAAGAGTAAAAAAGGAAATGTGGTGAATTTATTGAAACTTTTACTGCTAAACTTTCTTCTTCGCTGAATCACGTGCTCTGACACACATCTGAAAATCTGCTTCGCACCGTTTTTTGTGTCAGAAATCACTCCGAGTTGTGAGAAATGCATTAAGAGGGTTGAGAAAACTCAGAGCTTTAACAATTCTTCTTTAACTGAACAAGGACTTTATAAATCTATTATAAACTATGAGGCTGTTTGAAACTATTGTTTGTATTGACAGCATGTCGACATATAGGGAATGATATATGGGGATTTTTAATATCACGTTACTTTGGATCTCTGACCTCATCTTCAAGGTCAAATAAGGTCAAAATTAAAATAAAATGTTTGATCTTTAAAACTTTTTTTAAAATCCTGCTCCTTATTTGTATTATTCACGTGTAGGAAATGATAGTGGCGATTCTAAATAATTAAGTCTGCATCCAAATCAGTCTGCATCCAAATCAATCAATCAATCAATCAATCAATCAATCAATCAATCAATCAATCAATCAATCAATCAATCAATCAATCAATCAATCTTTATTTATAAAGCACTTTTCATATAATACACACACACACACACACACACACACACTTAAAGAGTAAAATTGGGCTGGGGACACATGAGCCAGGTGAGGAAACACTATCACAGGGAGCCGTCTGCACCAGGAGCCGGTCACAGACCGCAGCCACCAGGCTGGGCACACAGCAGGAGGGAGGCAAAGAAGCCCCCCAGCCAGGCTGAATAGACAGGCAGAGCCCCAGCAGCCACGGTTGATCACAGCCCCGGTGCAGAGAGCCCCCTCCGAGGAAACACTGAAGATATGACCCAATAAGAATATATACAGGATAAAAAGATAAAATAAATAAGAATGGGATACAATATAACTTTTAGTTGAGTTTTGCGGCTGATGGAGGTGGGGACTGCTGAAGATTTGATTTAACACCTGGAAACATGGCTGGAAATGGAACAGCACCCTCTGCTGGCTGGATTGTATACTTTACTGTAAACGTTAACTGAAGCTCACTGATGTAAATCTAAGTTTTTAGTGGTTCATGTTTCCTCTTCCCAAAGTTAAGCATATGAGCAAAACTTTTATTAACTGAAGACAGAAAAAGGACAGTATACCCAAGCATGGACTGGACATTCACATACTAACATATTTGTCAACGTCATTTTAACTCATTCACTGCCAATGGCTGGCAGTGAATGAGTTAAATGAACACAAGTTACATGTGAAAATGCGGAGGGCCATTTTTTAAAATTTAGAATTGAATTTGAAAAGGAAATTTTAAAATATGAATGCTATAAGTTTTAATGAAATGCCAGCGGGAACAAAGCGTACACCACAACATTGATTATCTCAAGTATCCTACATCTTCCGTCTGCATCCAAACAAAACTGCAACCTCAGCCGAACAAACACATAACAGCTGAAAGGTCAGTGTGATAGTACGTGTGTCAGGCAGAACTACGCAATACTGACATGATAATCTCAAATACGCCGTGTACTCAGATGTATCTTGATAAGGTGACATTGGGAGTTTTTCAAGCTCTTCTTTCCTTTAGACCCAACAGTTCTGACATGAAGGTAATCATCCAAATTTTACATCCAACTATGTTCTCTTCATTCACGTTACCATATCATAACCTACAGTTATTACAACTGAAGCTGTTGTATTAGCCACTGAAACAGTAAAGCATCTCAGTGAAAACAAAACCTCTAAGTCTCTAATTCTGTGCACCCGACACTTTTATTGTTTAATCCCACTGATCACCAGCCATTGCATCTTTCTCAGACTGCTCATATTCATTTTGCATTGCTGACATGTGTGTCTCATGTATGACAAAAGATTAATACAACAGTCAGCACAAGGAGAGAACCGATGATAATTTTTGAATTTCTTTGATACAATATCTCTGGCTTCAAAGGCTCAAGCCTCTGGACTCTGTCTATGTCGTCTTTATCATGGTGGCCTTGAAGACGTTGTCTGTGTATTTGTAGCTGCACAAAGATCAGGAGATGCAGCTACAAAAGGGGAAAAAAGGCTAGAAAGTCCCTAATTTAAACCCAATATTTCTCATAAGAATGAAGATGGACCATAGTAGGAGGATACACATCTGCAGGTAGCCATTAAATGTCAGTCAGTACCCGTTGATCAAAATATACAGCCTCAAATCACAGCAACTGTCACCTACAAGTGTGAGGCAAAGACCCTCCAATAATAAAAAGAAAACCCCAACAATCAGATAAACCCCTTTAAGGAAGCACTTTGGTGACAGTGGGAAGGGAAAAACTCCCTCTTAACACAAAGAAACCTTATGATTTTGCTTTGGAGAAGGTGGAATCTTTAGAGGGAGGTTTCCATGATTTACCACCGCTGTGGACTCCACCTCCACCCCTTCACTCCTCATGGGTGGGGACAGCAGCGAGGATCCACGTGAAAACAGAGACAGCTGATGGCTCGCTCCACCTGCTGCAGAATCACCAGAGAACAGTTCAGAACTACTGAACAGTAGCCTTCAGCCACCTCATCCTCCATCAGAGCTGCAGAAGGTAAGAGGATCTGCACACCACTGACATCTGCAGCAACAATTCACCAGATTTCAATCCTCATGATTGTTCATACATCAACTTTGCCCCCAAAACAGAAACAAGTGAGAGGGACTGTAGGGTCAACAATAGCTTCCTGTAGCTTTATTTCAAAACAAAAGCCACCTAGAGTACCGTATCACATGCTGATGCCAATTTTTACTGTCTTGGTTTGAAAAATCCAAACCTTATAGCTGGTTGCTATTAAAGTTTAAGACTCCCAACAAGCTGTGTGAGCAGAACAATACAAAGCAACAGTCTGAGTTCAGGGCAGGCTTCAACAGGAAGAATAACAAAAATGAACTCAACTCAAGGGTGAATTTTGGCTCCTTTTTAACAGCAGTAGTTCATAGTTGAATAGTTTGGTGTCAGAAATACACTTTTAACCTTTAATTTCAAACTCTAGTCCAACAAGAGCCTTTTTCCATGCACTCTGACACAATAAAACCTGTAAGACAACATTTTAAAGAAACCTAATTGATCAGCAGTATTACATCATAAGCAGTTACTTCCTCAATTCCCAACAACAAGCATCAGCAGCTCAGCCAGGTTACAGACTCTGGTCAGACACCTACTGCAGTACAGCCTCCATGGACTTCATAGACAGTTGTCGTCACCTGTTTATATTCATGGTTAAAGTAACTCAGTCTGTGTTAGCTGTTGATAAATACGAACTATTGTATCACCTCTCAAAACCATTTTTGCTTTTCCTGTCAAACTATCCTGTCAGTTTAAGTCGGAGCTACCTTATTGTGACTTATTTTTAGGAGCGCTTCGTTTTTGTCGTACAGTCACGCCCACCCATTAATTAACCACATGAAGACAAGGGAAAAAAATACTTATATAGTGCTTTTTTACTATATTTGAGCACTCAAAGTGTTTTCTTAACACAAGAACATTTGCCTCATTCATATACACATTTATACAAATGCTTTATTCTGTGCCAGTGTGCTTCTAAACTAATATAGATGCATTGAGGTCAACTCAGGGTTCAGTACCTTGCCCAAGGTACTTTTAACATGCAGACTAGAGGAGTTAGGGACCTTCCGGTAGCTGGGCCAACAGTGATAAATGGACCTTTAAATTGGTAAATGACCCACTTTACCTTCCAAGCCACAGTGACCTGTATTTGAAATTTATTTTGTATGGCCACTCATGTCATATCAGATCTGTAAAACACTTGGGCATTGTGGGTGTGTTTTCACCACGTGTTGAGAACTGGAACAGCAGTCTGGAAACCATGTTTGAGCATGAATGAACTTAAAAACAAAGATAAGGAGGACATGCCTTGCATCAAGGTGACCCCACACATGAGCATGCTCACAAGATAAGTCATATTTTTATGACTAGTTGGGAAAACATTATAACAAAAGTTGTGGAAAACAGCGAGTATATAGTCATTCCATTATATTGCTGTTAAGAGGCCAGTCATACACTCTCTGTCATATACTTATTCAAGGTAAAAATGTTGTTTACGCTGACAGTTGTTTTTTTAGCCTACAGCTATTTCAAGTTCCATGGTGATGGAGTAAATTTGATTCTGTATAGGACTTTGATGTGGCTATGTTACAGTTTGATTGTGGCTGTTACTTTCTGTCCAATCAGAAAACTTGTGTCTTTCAGGTCTCTGTGAGCTGATTGTCTCCCCTCCAACATGCCCCGCCCTCTGCTCTTCCTGTCTACTCTCATTGCACTTGCATGTAAGCATCGGCACAGCAGCCTAGAAGACCTGAATAGAAAGAGCATAATTAAATCTGAACAGTATAGGAATGAAAAAGCAGAAAGTGTTCATGGGCAGATATTTCTGCCATCTTCGTAAGAACTGCTAAATGATGACATCATGATAGAAGTGTTGACCTTTCATGAAGTCGACACTTGAACGTACAGTACTTCCTGTTAAGGTATAGCTAACACCCATCCTCTGTATGTTTTCAGGTGCTCAGCAGATAATTACACCGTCCTCAGTGTTGAACATCAGCTCATGTCCCATCACGTATTATGGAAAGAAGTATGAACAAATCTATGTGAGTAGAAACGTGATGTTTCAGAAGACCATTGTTATTGATTGATGAACTAAAGCAATCCTTGAATTATGTGTAACATTTTCAATTACAGCTCAGTAATAAAAATGGAAATAGTGGAGTAATATGGTGGGAACAAATATGTAAATAGCAAGTCATTTAATTACCATTATCATTAGTGATAATGCCCATGTAATTATCCTGTATCAACAGTGGTTGTAGACGAGTTGTAACACTTGTGTAACTGTGTAATAAGAGGCAAGAATGTGGCAGTAATGTGGAAAGAAACACACACACCTATGAGGCAAAACAGTTACTAATTATAGAGTAATTTTTGTAACACTGTAATAACATTGTGGTAATATCATGATACCATCTCTGCATTCAAGTTTTTATATATTGATTTGTGGTAGTAACCTCATAATAACAAGTTAATATTGAATGATGTTTTTAATATATAAGGAAACCATTAGCGTATAAAGTAAAGTTTGTTCTTGATGTTTGTCTCGGACTTCCCCAGGTGAACAGCACGACTGAAAACTTCGCACTCTGCTTTGATGGTTTCTTCAAAACTCAAACTGGAGGAGACGGTCTTGTGGGGCCTGCAGCCAGCTATGTTACCTTACACATAAATTCAAAAAATTCAAAATTGGAATCACAAGTCCACCAAGAAGTGCCATCAATTAAGGCCAGTTTGAAATGCAACTTGGAATTCTTCATGGAATACACCAAGGCGACAAGTGTAAGTGTTGTTGATTGACATGAGAAGTCAAACTTGACTTTTAGAGTCCACAGCTTACAATTAACTGCTAAAACAATGAAATCAAGCATCCTGATTGTGTCTGGATCTGTGTTCACCCTTTACAGGCCGATTTGTATCTGTTAACTTTTGGGAAACAAGCAGCTCTATTTGTGTTCACAGATGTGACAACTAATGTGGTGAGTTTGTAAACACTTGTGTGTGTACTTTAATATGAGAGAACCATTTTATGCACCAAATAATCTGGTAGATACTTTTCACTCTTGGGCTGAAAGGCACATATAGTTCACAAATCTCACAGCACATGAAAATGAAAAACACTAAATGGAGACTGGGCGCCATAACCAGCCACAGCTGGCTGCTTTGCATTCCCATACCACTGTTTGTGGTATTAGTGTTTTTACCCCTAAATCACTCTTCTGCATTAAGTGTAGGGTGTAAGTCTGCCGTTTACCTCAGCTCTCAATGCGTCCACATTTACTTACTCTTTATGAGTAAGTAAACTTTGTAAAGTTTGTGAAAGGAGTGCAATATGAGTTGATGAGTCAGTGAAGCTAATTTCTGTCTGATGACACTATATTAAAAAGTAGTTTATAAGGTGTACTACGTATCTGGCTGGCCACTAATCAACGTACATCTGGAAGTACAACATTCTTCTTGTCTATTAGATGACCTACAGATTACTTACTGCACCTTTAATATGTCTGAAATGATTTGCCTCAACTCTGAGATCATGATATGAGTTTTGTGCGGTTCTGCTTAGGACTTGGAAGTTTACATCGGTGGTATCAAAGTGACTACAGTGTACAAGAATACAATACAAGATATCAGTGGATGCAGACACTCAGGTTGGTGAATCTCAGGCTCATTACTTTGACGTTGGGATGTTACAGGGAGTGCTGTGCCTTTCTGCTTGCTCTTGTTGGTTTTTAAACTAAAGTAAACCATCCATCACTTCTCAGGTATTGCATATGAACCTGACACTGTGGTGAGCGCTGATCCAGAAACCTGCTCCAAACTCACCTGCTCTGAAACTGCAGTCCTTGAAACCATTGGCTGTGGTCCACTGGAGCGTTGTCAAGGAAACAACACGTGAATATAACCCCATTTATATTTAAAAGAAAGATCTGACGCGTTAAGGGATTTTTTTTAAAGTAATTTAATTAATTTTTTTTATTTAGTGTATTTGGTCTCTTCCTCATCAGCGGCTTATGAGGTTAGTGGTTGATTGTTTTCTTCTTTGCTTCCATCAGCTGTGTAGTGGACACCACCTGTACTGTGACTGGCCCAACTGTCATCAACGTCCACGGCCAACTCAACTTCATCAAGGATCGGTGTGCTTACTCTCTGGTTTCTATTCCGTCAATCCCAAACCTGTACCTCGTGGCAAATTTCAGAGACCGCCGTCGTGAAGATGTGAGCTTTTTGGACAGCGTGATACTGCGTCTAGATGGGCCAGGTGTTCATATTCACCTGGAACAAGGCGGGAGAGTTTGGGTAAGCTGCGTCAGGCAAGCTAAGGGTACATCTTTAACCATATTGCCATGTACATTGTTGCAGCCATTCCCCGATTCTCAATGGTGCGCATGGCAATTAATTAATGGTCATAACAATTCGGTCGATTGTTGGTCAGTGGTGCAAGTTTAGGTTATGCAAAGAAACTGCTGTGTCTCCTCGCATCGTTCTTCTCAGGGATGTTAGAAGCAGTTCTTTCAGAGCTGCTGAACTCAGTGGTTGTTGCTGTGAAATCAGCCTGTTTGTGTGTTTGACATGTTTCACTCAGTGTTTCCTCCACTTTGTCTCTGCTGTGATGCAGCTGGACGACTCCATGTTGACCCTTGAAAGTTTGCCTCAGCTGGTTCATGGTGTGCAGCTCTCTAAGGACCAAACTGGAGTCACTGCCAAGCTGTCGCTCTCCAACCTCAACATTTCTGTCTTCTTTGATGGCGACACCACACAGATCCCCTTAGAAGGTACAGAAGATAAAGTTTAATTCATGTAATGTAAACTGTAAACTGTGCTGTTGTGTTCCTCCAGTTTGAAGTCCTTAAAACCTCATATTCCATCCCTGGCTTTTCCAGTCAACATTTTCCTGTATGAATGTGACTGTCTCTTGCTTGCGGTGAAAGTTTTTTGCTTTTTTTTTTTTTTTTTACTTCAGGTGATTCCCAAAATGTTGACCCCTGTAACAGCTACACTGTACTGAATGATGAGTGGCGTTCAACGAATAACATAAATAATCCAGTCCTACACTGTGATCAATCTATTAACTGGCAAGGCTGGTACCGCCTGTTTCTGGGGAGCTCCAATGCTCGTATTCCCGAGAGGTGTATAGACTCAAACAGGTGTGGAACCCATGCTCCTCTGTGGATAACACAACCTCATCCCTCACAGCCAGGTGAAACTGTAACTCGCACTGTGTGCAACAACTGGTCTGGAAGCTGCTGCCAGTTTCCTTCACACACCATCCAAGTCAAACTATGCTATGGAAACTACTACGTCTACAAACTTGAGAGGCCATCTGTGTGCCACCTTGCGTACTGTGCAGGTATTGTTGCCCTCTAAGCATGATCACACTGTAACAAATTCATCTTTTTCATCCTGCTGCTAAATTCAACTGTTCAGAAGGAAAATGCTCTCAGCTTTACCGCAGTACTCTCACTTATTCATTTATGTATTGACTGTAAACAGAGGTGAACACAACAACATCTGCACTTTCTTCAACCACACCTGCTCCAATACCACAGACCTCTACAGCCAATCAGGTCAGGCTCACTTCTACAACAGCAGTGAGCAACAGTGCAGCAGTGGAGGGGCGCATCCGCCTGGTTGGAGGAAACAGCTCGTGTTCTGGCAGGGTGGAGATCTTCCACAGTGGGCAGTGGGGGACGGTGTGTGATGATTTATGGGACCTAGTGGATGCTCAGGTGGTGTGTAGACAGCTGGGCTGCGGCAGGGTCGTCTCAGCACCAGCAAATGCTCAGTTTGGTCAGGGCACCGGACCCATCTGGTTGGATGATGTCAGTTGCTCAGGCAGTGAATCAAATCTCACTCAGTGCCAGCACTTAGGATTTGGATCTCACAACTGTGGACACTCTGAGGACGCTGGTGTCATCTGTGAAGGTAAATTTGTGCAGCTGCTTACACTGAAGTCCCACTGCTTGATTATATGTCCAGGATGTTTAGCTGACAGGTTTGCAGTCAACGATTATGATAGCTTTGACTTATGTTACACTGTTTTGCCCACAAGCTCTTTCACATTGAATATTTTATTTACAGACAATATCTTGGAGCCTTACTGTAAACCCAACAAAAAGTCCATCATTTTCCATTTAAAATGCAAATTTGGATGATTTTTTACTCTTTACAGGCTTTGCACTTGAACCAACTCTTCTTTCAGCTCTTTGTGATGGTAAATTGGGAGGCTTTTGAGTTTTCGTTAAAGTGGGACAACACCAAAATAAAACACCAAAATGCAATGTGTTTCCACAGTACTTGATATTGCTCCACTCAAATATATGTTATCCAACATGTACCTGCTTTTACAGGCTCCATGAGAATCATATTCTTGAGACGTCTAAGTAACAATATTTGGTCACAATCATACTTGCACCTGGTAGAAACAGGACTTCAGGATTAAATGCTTAAACTTTATCCATTCTAGACTACATTTTCACTGTGGGTTCTGCAAATGATACACAGCTGCATGAAACATAGTTAGTGGGTCCTCTATAACCTTACCTTATGTCCACAGGAAGTCCCTCTTTCTGACTGTGAGCAGCAAAATAATATCCAAGACTTAAAACACCCATGTGACTGCATTAAATGCCCTGATTGCTGGACATGTGACATGCACTGAAATGTTATGGCCCTGTGTTGTGTCCACATACTATTGCATTTTGTTCTGTAGATGCATTTACTAGAAGCACTGGAGGGCGCTAATGAATATCCTTGTTGTTGTGGTACTTGGGAAGGAGAAAAATAAAAAAGGAGTTTTCTCCGGTGATCCTCTGTTCCTACATGCTCATGTGTGTTCATGCCTGCTGAAACAACACCGTGTATGCAATACATAAATTGTCTGTCTCAGCAAATCTAACAATTTTATATCCAGCAAAAAGTCTTTTTGATTTTGTTTTGAGACTAACAGGGTAAGCAAGAGCACGATGAACGAGATCATTAATCTTCTTTTGAGAATATATGCCTTTTATTTTTTATTTTGTTTATAAACATCGTTTATCAGTGACAACGATGAGGCCGCCTACAGGGAGGAGGTGGATCGTCTGGCTGAGTGGTGCGACACAAACAACCTGCTGCTTAACACCAAGAAGACCAAGGAGCTCATTGTGGACTACAGGAGGAATGCTGACCCACATCCACCCATCCACATTAAGGGGACGGCTGTGGAGCGTGTGAGCAGCTTCAAGTTCCTGGGAGTCCACATCTCCGAGGATCTCACCTGGACGACCAACTGCTCCAAGCTGGTCAAGAAGGCTCACCAGCGCCTCTTCTTCTTGAGGACCCTGAGGAAGAACCACCTGTCCTCAGACATCCTGGTGAACTTCTATTGTTGCACCATCGAGAGCATCCTGACCAACTGTATAACAGTCTGGTACGGGAACTGCTCTGCCTCGGACCGGAAGGCGTTGCAGAGGGTCGTGAAAACTGCCCAGCGCATCGCCGGAGCACCACTTCCTGCCATAAAAGACATCTACAGGAAGCGGTGTCTGAAAAGGGCTGGGAAAATCATCAAAGACCCCAGTAACCCATCACATGGACTCTTCACCCTCCTGCCCTCTGGGAGGCGCCACAGGAGCCTCCGGACTAAGACCACCAGGTACCGGAACAGCTTCTTCCCCACAGCTGTCAGACTCCTGAACTCTGCCTCCTGACATCTGACTAGAGATGGACCGATCCGATATTACGTATCGGTATCGGTCCGATACTGACCTAAATTACTGGATCGGATATCGATAAAAAATGTAATCCGATCCATTAAATATCACGAAAGCACCTCACAAAACTTGCAACACGCCGTAACTCACCTCAGAACGTTAGCACGTCGGAGCAGTATGCATCACGTGATAGAGCGGCTGTGGCATGCAGGACCTGTCGGTGGTCTGGATAGCATTTGGAGCTTCGCTAGCAACCTGGCATTTCATCTCCGACAAAGTTATCCCGAGAGAAGTAAAGCAAGTGTGTAAGTCCATCTCTGAATGTTTGTAAAGCATTCCTGCGTTAAGCTTAACAAACGACTGCCTCTTCTTGCTGCTACTTCAATCATGAAACTGCTTAACGATCAGCTGATCGGCTTTTCTGTCGCGAGTCCGTGTCTCTAGTTTGCTTTTGGCCCACTTTGCACCAGAAAGAGGAAACCAGCGGCTGAACAACAGCAGCACGTTTAAGCTTGATCAGCTGTTGTTAGAATGTATTTAATCTTACTTTCTACTCCAGGATATTTTTCTACGTAGCTGACGGCTGGTAACTTTGCAGGGGCGGATCTAGCAAAGTTTAGCCAGGGGGGCCGATAGGGCATTAACAGGGAAAAGGGGGCACAAAGACATACTTTTCTTTCTTATTCTCATTTAAAATGTCTAGCTTTTAATAAATAATTATCTGACACCCAAAGTTTTAATCTGATGTAAAATGAATAGAAGTCCATTATTGTATATAGTGACTATTAAGTCTAATATATATACCCTAGTAAGCTATAGTACTTTTTGCTTTGGGAAGGTACCATCTGTGCAGTCTGCAATTCTGTTGAAGAAAGATGTTGAATCTATTTAATATTTCTTGAAAAATAATTGATTTCTGTGTATTTTTTTTCACATTGCATCAAATTAAGGTTGATTACGTCGATTAAGCATCATGAGGTGGAGCGTGAGGGGTGGTTCCCTATTTTTTATTTATTTATTTTTGTTGTTGCTGGGAGTTGGAACCCTATTAGTTAGGTTGCTTAATATTTATGCTAAGTACTCTTTAAAATACCAGAATAGGGAGGATGGTGTAGGTTTAAGTTTATTAGATTGATCAGTATTGCTGAACTATGAAATATTTTTTTTTGCATACAGGTATAACAGAATAGCTTTAGTGTAGTTGTTGTTTTAAACTTGAGTATGAACTTATACAAAATGCAGCAAGATATTTAAAAACAGTTTTGTTGATTAAAACACACTATATCGGATTCATATCGGTATTGGCAGATATCCAAATTTATGATATCGGTATCGGTATCGGACATAAAAAAGTGGTATCGTGCCATCTCTACATCTGACCCACGTTAAACTCATGGACTGAACATACACACACCCACAATGGACAACTGTACCCTCAAACACACAATAATAACATGGACTGAACCACCACTCACAACCACTAGCACTTTATATAGCCTCTGTAGAAACTATCTACACCCTCACTTATCTTAACTGCACTACTGTATAGCTCTGTGTAAATAATCATTCTGTACATTCGATAATCTTTAATCCTACAACTGTTTACAACTTGCATAGTTCCCATTTCTGTATAGCTGTATATCTCAGATTTCTGTAAAGTTATTTATTTCATATTCTGTATAGTTTTTCATATTTATATCCTGTTCATAGCCTGTACATAGCTTGTACTCACTACAGCCTTTACATACTTAGTTATAGAATATTCACAACATACTTCATACCGTGTACATTATAACATACCATAATAGACCCATTTCTGTAGTATACTTACATATCTATACTATTGCTAATATATATTGTAATATATCTATATCACTAAAGCACTTCTGGATGGATGCAAACTGCATTTCGTTGCCCTGTACCTGTGCATGTGCAATGACAATAAAGTTGAATTCTATTCTATTCTATTCTATTCTAAATCCGTAAATTGAGCACTTTACATGCATATTAGACTAATTCATATGGCCACACTGTTGGAATTTACATTGTATTTTACAGCCATTTTTAGCTGTGGACCCTGGTTTCAAGGCCTCTCCTTGTGGGTTTTCTCTGGGTAATTCGGATCCCTCCCACAGTTCGATGACTTGCTGTTCCTGAAGATAGGTGAATTGGTGATTCTAAAATGTCCGTGTGTGAGAATGGTTGTAAGCCCTGTGACTGACTTGTGACCAGAAGAATCATCTTTTACATTTGCTGTTGTTTTAAGATTTTTTTTCTCTTAAATTGAGGAAGAGGCGATGCGGAAAGAAGCACCGACAGGCTTGTTTTGAGTTTATTTGACACAATAAAGTGGGTGGACTGAATGTTTCAACTATTCTTTTAAGATATTTCTCACATGTCTAAGGTCGAGACATTATGTCACTTGATTATAGTCTGGATTTTTTTGAAATTAAATACTTTTTTCATGCCAAATATTTAGATGTCAAATCTTTGCAGTGTTCATACCAAAAACTGATTGTATTGAACAAAAAAAGTTTGGAAACTAAAGAGACAATTTAGTTAAAGATATGCACAACAGAAATCTTTAAGACCGGTACAAACACGCTGTTTCATCCCTGCTCCTTCAGTCTGCATGTCGAAGCTTTCTTGGCCAAGACATTGAACCCAATTTGTCCCCAATGCATCTATCAGTGTGTGTGATTGTTTAAAAAGATGACTTCTTTTCATCCTTCAGGATATTCCCAAAGTGTCGATCCTTGTTACAACTACACTGTGCTGAATGATCAATGGCGTTCAACAAACAACACAAATACTCAGGACATACACTGTGATCAATCTATTAACTGGCAAGGCTGGTACCGCCTGTTTCTGGGGAGCTCCAATGCTCGTATTCCCGAGAGGTGTATAGACTCAAACAGGTGTGGAACCCATGCTCCTCTGTGGATAACACAACCTCATCCCTCACAGCCAGGTGAAACTGTAACTCGCACTGTGTGCAACAACTGGTCTGGAAGCTGCTGCCAGTTTCCTTCACACACCATCCAAGTCAAACTATGCTATGGAAACTACTACGTCTACAAACTTGAGAGGCCATCTGTGTGCCACCTTGCGTACTGTGCAGGTATTGTTGCCCTCTAAGCATGATCACACTGTAACAAATTCATCTTTTTCATCCTGCTGCTAAATTCAACTGTTCAGAAGGAAAATGCTCTCAGCTTTACCGCAGTACTCTCACTTATTCATTTATGTATTGACTGTAAACAGAGGTGAACACAACAACATCTGCACTTTCTTCAACCACACCTGCTCCAATACCACAGACCTCTACAGCCAATCAGGTCAGGCTCACTTCTACAACAGCAGTGAGCAACAGTGCAGCAGTGGAGGGGCGCATCCGCCTGGTTGGAGGAAACAGCTCGTGTTCTGGCAGGGTGGAGATCTTCCACAGTGGGCAGTGGGGGACGGTGTGTGATGATTTATGGGACCTAGTGGATGCTCAGGTGGTGTGTAGACAGCTGGGCTGCGGCAGGGTCGTCTCAGCACCAGCAAATGCTCAGTTTGGTCAGGGCACCGGACCCATCTGGTTGGATGATGTCAGTTGCTCAGGCAGTGAATCAAATCTCACTCAGTGCCAGCACTTAGGATTTGGATCTCACAACTGTGGACACTCTGAGGACGCTGGTGTCATCTGTGAAGGTAAATTTGTGCAGCTGCTTACACTGAAGTCCCACTGCTTGATTATATGTCCAGGATGTTTAGCTGACAGGTTTGCAGTCAACGATTATGATAGCTTTGACTTATGCTACACTGTCTTGCCCACAAGCTCTTTCACATTGAATATTTTATTTACAGACAATATCTTGGAGCCTTACTGTAAACCCAACAAAAAGTCCATCATTTTCTATTTAAAATGCAAATTTGGATGATTTTTTACTCTTTACAGGCTTTGCACTTGAACCACCTCTTCTTTCAGCTCTTTGTGATGGTAAATTGGGAGGCTTTTGAGTTTTCGTTAAAGTGGGACAACACCAAAATAAAACATCAAATTGCAATGCTTTTCCACAGCTCTTGATATTAGCTGACAGGTTTGCAGTCAACAACTATGATTTTTTTGATTTATGCTACACTGTTTTACCCACAAGCTCTTCCTTTTTTGGACATGAATTCAATCATTGTATCTGTTCTGGTTTTTTGATTATTATTTACAAAATAATACAGATGTTTATTTTTAATTACATTTTAAGGCCTTTTTGACATTTACAGGCATTATATTTGAACATAAATTGTATCTTAAGATATTTTAATGAGACAATTATTTAATTTAATATTAGCTGCATGAAGAGAATTAAAATCGATCATACTAAAGTTGTTCAAAATTTTCCAGTACCCAGTTCCATCAACTGGCTGTAAGGATCAATCTTTCCTCCCCTGTAAACAGTAAACGACACAACAAAAAATGCCCAAACAAGTCTGCTTCATACCACCTGTCACTCACTTCTGGTCATTTCTGCAAAAGACAAAGTAGATTGTGTGCTGAGATATTTTGAAATGTTAGCTTAAAGATAATCCAAGAGACCAGTCATTTCCAGAGGTTATATCATCCATACTAAAAGTGTGACCATGGTTAGATATTCATACATGTATCTCCTGAACTTATCATGATATCTTGTGAAACTGTTCAAGAAGTTCTAAATAACTTAAAACTTCCAAAATCCAGAAGACTTGTAGAGCTGATACTAAGACACCCCTCTGTTTTTTTAAAGAATTTCTACCTGAGATGCCCAGTCTGTTGGCCTCCACCTGCACTTTTACCGGCCCCACTATCATTGACGTCCACGGCCATATTAACTCCATCCAGGATCGCTGTGCGTACTCTCTGTTCTCGACTCCGTCACTCCCAGATTTCCTTGTTCTGGGGAACTTCAGGGACAGACGTCGTAAAGATGTGAGCTTTTTGGACAGTGTGACGCTGCGTGTGGACGGGCATGACATTCACCTGGAACAAGGTGGGAGAGTTCAGGTAAGCGACCTACAGCCACAGTTCATGTGTCAGAGTGGAGTCTGATCCAAAGTCCTCCCTCATCCTCTGCTGAACTCAGTGGTTGTTGCTGTGAAATCAGCCTGTTTGTGTGTTTGACATGTTTCACTCAGTGTTTCCACCACTTTGTCTCTGCTGTGATGCAGATGGACGACTCCACACTGACCCTCAGCAGCTCATCTCAGCTGGTTCATGGTGTGCAGCTCTCTAAGGACCAAACTGGAGTCACTGCCAAGCTGTCGCTCTCCAACCTCATCATCTCTGTCTTCTTTGATGGCAACACCGCACAGATCCTCTTAGAAGGTACAGAAGATAAAGTTTAATTCTTGTAACATAAACTGTAAACTGTGCTGTTATTTATTCTTCTGCGTTTGTCCAGTTTGAATATTGATGCTGATCTGACTCATTCTGTCCTGATCCTCTGCAGGACCTGCTGGTTCATCTGTGGAGGGTCTGTGTGGAAACTCCAGCAGGTCTCTGAGTGACCTGAGGCTCTCTGAGTACAGCTCCACCAGGTAAGACCTCATCACAAGCTCAGAGTCCCTCTGACTGCTGCTGCTGCTGATGTTGCAGATATTCTGTTTGTATGAATGAGCCTGAACTTTGTTGTTTGTCGCCCCCTAGCTGTGAGATGCAGTACAGTGAGACTGCTGACAGCACGATCAACTGCACCAGTGTGACTGAACGGTGAGCAGACTGATCCACACAGCAGGAAACATGTGTTGTACCTTGATCTCTGTTCTAAATTATCACATGTGACTGCAGCATAGATGGAAGATAAACACATCTGATTACAGATTATTATTTTATTGTCTTCAACTTCTTCTTCTCTCTGTGGTACAGCTGTAATCTCCTGAAGGAGGCGCACTTCTCCTCCTGTAACACTGACATTGACCCAGAGCCCTACATAACCGCCTGCACCGACACTTTGTGTAAATATCCTGCAGTGGACGGACTCAACTGTCAGTTCCTGAAGGCCTACGCCAGAGCCTGCAGTCTACACAACCACGCTCTGGATGGCTGGACATCAAAGACCGGCTGCTGTAAGACCTTAATAAGACCTTAATAAGCTCTCCTTTGTTAAAGACCTGAACTCTGGAGTTTTAGAGCTCACGTGTTTTCAGGATAATACATCAGTGTGTTCCTCTGTAGCCTCTGAGGCCTTCTGTCAGGACAGGACCTGCAGCGATCACGAGTTCTGTGGTGAGAAGACGGTCGGTGGTGACACTCGCTGCTTCTGTCGGGACATTTTTGCCTCCAAGTACCAAGAAATCAACTCTTTGGGTACAACAGCTGTGACATCACCATGACAACAGGGCTGAATAATGGAGGAAAACTTCTAACTGTGATTTTTCTGACTGATATTGTGACGTTCAGGTGATCCAACGGTCTGCATGCAGGACTCTGCTTCAGTCACTCTGGTTGGTTGTCTCCTGGAGGACAAAGACATCAATTACTCTGCCTTACACCTCAACGACCCGACCTGCAGGGGTCAGGTGGACGAGCTCACCCACATGGTGACCTTCAGCTTCAACAGCAGCAACAGATGTGGGACGGTGGTCACGGTGGGTTTCATCTCCTGCTGTTTAAGCTTTGATCTCTGTGAATTCTAAAATTTTTGGTCATCTGAAGTTTATACCAGTCAGTCAACATCTTAAACAGTATCAGATGTTAAAGATGAAACAATGAAGAACTTGGTTAGTATCTGATTATGTGACCCTGCAGACCAACAACAGCTACGTCATCTATAAGAACACCATCAGGAGCCAGAATTACTCTTTTGACGTCATCACTCGCAACGCCCAAGTCCAGATCGACTTCTCCTGTGTTCACAGTCAGCCAAGCATCCACACTGCAACCTTCAGAATCAGAGACTGGTTTGTAGTGGCTGCTAGGTATTGTTTGAATATTTGTTAAAATGTGGGCATTGTTAACAGTGCAAATGTGTGCATTCTGCAGCTCCGTTGCACAGAAGATCTCATGTGGAGCTTGGAATTACACTCTGATTATCAAGGCCTACACCGACGCTGGGTGGGCACAAGTTGTGCAGCTGAACAGTGAAGTGAGACTGAACCAGAGGATCTGGGTAGAGCTGGAGACTAATGGGCTGGATGGAAGCATGGTCACTGTGGTGAGGGACTCCTGCTGGGCAACCAACCAGGCATCACCTACCAGCAGTCCAAGACATGATCTGATCATTAACGGTGAGAGATACTCAGAGTCACTCATAAGTTCACTTTGATCACCTTTATCAGCTCCTCAATAACGTGTATGTATTTTCGTGGTTATGAAAAGCTGTGCAAACCCCGCTGACCTGACAGTGGCAGTGGAGGAAAACGGACTGGGAACCTCCACCTTGTTTTCGTTCAACATCTTCCGGTTCACTGGGGGTTCTGGTGAAGTCTACCTGCACTGCAAACTCCACCTGTGTCCCAAAGAGGAGACCAGCTGCATACCGGTAGGCCTTGCTGTCAAACACTCATAGCAAGCTTTACCTATTCATCCCACCTGTTACAGGAGGGCTTGATTTGTTATGCACAAACTGGTTCCTAACCATCTATTCATTGTTCCAAAGCACACCATTAACATATATGGTCATATATAATCATTTTGGTGCTTTAAGTAAAGCAGGTGCATGTGTTACGTTCTAACTAAACACCTGTTTATTACTAGATTATATTGTTCTGTACATTTTTATCCTCATTTAACTACACTCACAGCACAACACTGAAAACATGAAGTGAATTCAGTTGTATTTTGTTTGAACATCCAGAATTGTAATGCAGCAGCTCGCAGACGCAGATCTGTTGGATCCAAATACGAAGGTGAAGCCTCCATCGGCATGTCCTGGACTCATTAGGTAACTTCAGGTGACAAATCTAATGAGTGGTGTAAGAAGTAAGATTGGCTGTGAACAGAATCACGAGAGGGCAAGAGTGGTTTCCATGCTGACTACGACTGAATGACCAGTTGCCGACCAAATGCTGAACATTGTTTTTGAGGACAGTGTTCAGCAGACACACAGAGCAACAGTACTTTACTCCATCTTCTTTATTCAATTTTATTTATATAGTGCCAATTCACACCAAAAGTTGCTTTGAGGCACTATATATTGTAGAGGCCCTACAATTATCTTTATTGTTGTACTTTCTGCCAAAAAAAAATAAAGAATGTGGCAACAACCAGCCTGAGTTTGATTCTTGTTTTCTGGCTCAAACACCATTCAGGTAGAAATCCAGTAATTATCCAGCTGACGATTTCTCTTTTTACGCAACCTAATGGAGTCAAAAGCATACAGTGTATCACGGTCCTGGGTGATTTGACCAAATGTTTTTAAGTTTTTGGACTTTCGTTTTATTTATGTAAATATTCTATTTGACTCTTGGTTTACTTGTTTATGTGGTTTCCTGCATTTTCCTTGTGCCTTGATTTTAGCTACCCTTTCATTGGCTCACCCTTCAATTTAGTTTACCTGTGTCTCGTTATCCCCGGCTTTCTCCACTCCCCCTTCTCCGTGTACATATAGTGCTGTATTGGACTTTGAAGTCTGTTCATCTCATCTCTGTGTTTCTGCAAGCTTTACGTTTCAGTTGTTTATAGCTTCCCCCCTTGAGCACACAGTTTTTGATGAAAACAGAGAGGTGTGACCATAGCAAACAGGAAACTAATGTTGTAGGAGATGAGGCAAGCACTGAACTATTTTAAATCTTGGCAGAATTTAGAAGTTGACCACACATGTACACAATACTATGCACCCCAGATTATTTCAGAGCATTAAAAACAAAACAAAAACTAAGCTTTATGCAAAAAGACTACAAGAATTTCAGAATTTTTTGGGATGAGTTTTTGGGTTCACTTTCTCACAAGAAGAACGCCGGTGAGATTTGATCCAGGAGTTTAAATCTGTACCATGACCGCTTTCGTGCATTTTTCAGGATGTCAGTGGGGCAGTTTGAGGTTTGGTTAGCAGAGTTGGGAAGACATCTGTGGAGGCAGAGAAGTAATTTTAGGGAACTGACTGACAGGGAACAGGAGCAGCTTCTAGCTGTGTATCTGAGGTAAAATAAAGGCCTTAATACTTGCAGATGATTTTGAGCTTCTAGAAATAAATTGAACACATCATTTTTGAAGTGAGAAATGTATTTGGTGACTCAAAGTCCTCCAAGAAGCAAGTCCTTCCACTCAGTTTCTTAAAAGCCTCCTGACACTTTAAACATTAGAAAAATTTATTTCAGTTGGCTGTTTAATGTTTTTGCCAAGTACTCTTTAAAATACCAGAATAGAGAGGATGGAGGATTTAAGTTTATTAGATTGATCAGTATTGCTGAACTATGAAATATTTTGAGTGCAGTGTGTTTTTTGCATACAGGTATAACAGAATAGCTTTAGTGTTTTGTTTTTTAAACTTGAGAATGAACTTATACAAAATGCAGCAAGATATTCAAAAAACATTTTTAATGATTAAAAAATACACTATATCGGATTCATATCGGTATCGGACACATAAAGTGGTATCGTGCCATCTCTAGTATATACAGAATGTGGCAACTGAAGTATACACAGAGGGAAATTCAGGGAAGTGCAGACAGCCATGTAGAACGAGACCCAGCTGAACTAAATTATCAACAATGGCACAAGGAAAGCACAAGCACACCAACTCAAAATAAACCAAAAATGTCATAATTATATGTCAAGTTTATTTCTAAAGTACATTTAAAAACTACAGCTGATGATTAAAGTTATGTACATCTAAAAGAAAATTCAAATAACATAAAACAGAGGACACAATCAAAGTTTAGGTTCAACAGTTTTTCCAAACAGTTAGAGTTGAAGCATTCGCAGAGACAACCCTGTGTTTCATCCCTGACAACCAAATACAGCACCGAGCTCCTGTCAGAGCTTCACACTGCAGCGATAAAGCTGTGCTGCACGGTGGGGACCTAAACATAATCATCAAATTAATGACAATGATAACACGATCACATGCTTAACTTGTTACAGACAAATATACACAATACACCTTTTACCTGACATCCTGTCAGAAAACACTGGAATTCACCCTACACCTAAAAATTTCCATGAATGGTGGATCCTAGATGCACTCCAGCTGTCGATGGTGTACTGCCCACAACTCAACAATGGCCTCTGGGAACAGACATAAATAAAAAGTTGTGTAATGTTCAATCTCACATCCTGTCCAACCTTTTGGAATGAGGTCTGTCACACTAGGTGTTTTGGCAAGATGCACTCCAGAAAACATGCCTGTCACCTTTTCATTGACATTTACATTAATTTTAATGTAAATCAAATTAATTTGATTTGCATTAATTAACATTAATTATGTGTAACCACATAATTTCCTCAGGGATTAATAAAGTATTCTGAATGTGTCATTTAGTTCACTAATTAGTAGCATTTACCTTCACGACAGTGGTGATGTCTTTCAATTTGTAGCACAGCAAGTTTTTTGTGTTTATGATTCTGTGAGAATCGCTCCACATGGTTTACCCAAAGTATGTTGATTTCCTCAAAATCAAATGTGAAATGCGCCCTTATATCTGCTCCTCCCAAGCCTTGACATTCTAGATGTCTCATCTCAAAATACCTAAAAATTGTCTTTGTGTCCTTGCATGATGATACTGTAACTAGTTTTGTGTTTTTGCAAATATTTTGTTGACTCTTCATAAATAAAGGAGGTTTTCACATAGTTCACTCAAGTAAAATTGTTAAAAGTTAAATTGTCTACATTCCCCACTGGTTCCTGGTCCCTAAAAAGGTACCGTCTGAGCAGAAGCAGATGTAGATTAAAGTTGTTGTAATATGATGGCATTAACTGGACTCTAACAGTGTGAATACACAGTCATCCCAAAGATGAGGTGCAGTGAGGGTGACACGAAAACTTTCAGTGTATGCAAAATGACATCATTGCACTGAAAGATCCTCATTTTACACTCGGCTCCACTAAAATCCCATCTTGATGCAGTCTGGCCAGTTTAAAATACGTGTTCTTGCACAAAAGCACAACCAGAATACCATAGTAAAATGTCATGTGATTGAAAAAGTGAGACTGTGATGAAGATGATGTACATACGACAAAAATTTAATTTTTGCAAGAAATGCATTTTGAAAGTACACATAGTGTACTTTCTGTGGTGCAGTTTGTTCGCCCGAGTACATAAGCATACGCTGACAGATGTTCACCATCAGAGAAGCATGTACAAACTTAACGGTTCTTGATTCAGAGCCCAAATGTCAGAGTAAAGGAAGGCTTTCAGAATGTAAAGTGCGTATTGTTGTTAGCTGTAATAAAATCCCAGTGGGAACAAAATGTACACTAAAGTCCTTATTATCCAAACTGTTCCACATCCTGTATCTGTGTCTACACCGAGTCAAAGCAACATGACGTATAATGGGGTTTTTCAGATGAGTGTGTTAAGGACTGATAACAACTACGTAACACTGACACGATTACCTGTAAACATGCTGTGTACTCAAATGCATCTTTTGATATTTCAGAGGGCTGATAAAGGGACTGTGGGAGCTTTTCTATCTGTTACACCCAATAATTCTGACATGAAGCTGATGCTAATGACACTTACTAGAGAATTTTGTCAAACATCAGAAAACCTGCTCACAAAGGATTGGATCAATGGGTCAGTGAGTCCAAAGACTAAGCACAACGATCCTTCTAACATCTTTAAATGTAATGACCAATATTTTACATCCTGTTATGTTCCCTCCATTCATCCGCTAAAATTTAAAATTTGGGTTAAAACTTTTCAAACTTCAACATGGCATGTGTAAACATACTAGTTTTCTTAAGTAAGCCTAAATTATTTCTGTTTCAGAATCTTATTGTCAAGAACAACAAAATTGTAATCAAACCCGTCCTGAAAAAAATACTTTTTTATTAAGCCACAGCTGTGCAAATGATCTAGTTTAACTTGAAATCCACAAAACTTGTGAAATAAGTTAAAACTGAGGATTATCTTTCAACTTACACAGATAAATTATGTCAAAACCAAAAGAAATCAGTTTAGACTTGAGAAAAAGACTTGCTGAGGCTCAGAAAGCTGGAGCTAAAAATACAACATTAACAATAATTTTCCAGGTGTCAAGAAGTGGAGTGAGAAGGATCATCGATACATTCAAAGACAGCCAGACAGTACAGAACAAGCCTGGCAGAGACTGGAAGGAATAGATCTCAAAGACTGGACAGAAAACTAGTGAGAGACGTGTCTAAAGACCCCAGAACAACCAACTCCTAGCGAACCTCGTCCCCACAGTGAAACACGGTGAGGATGCTTCATAGTGGAAGGAAACATGAAGAAAGAAAATGTGACAACCCTGAAGGAAAACATCAAGCAGTCAGCAGCAAAACTGTGCTTGGGTCTTCACTTTGTCTTCCAACATAACCGCAAAACAAAACAGACGTGGCTCCTTCAGGAGGCGATGAAAAACCAGCTCACAATGAGCATTACTGACTGGCCTGCACAAAGTCCTGACCTGAAGCCTGCTGAACATCTGTGGAGGGAACTGAAGACCGAGCTCCATAAAAGATGATCGTCAAATCTGGAGGTGCTTGAGAATTTTGCAAAAGAAGAATAGGCTGGGGTTACTCGGTTCAGGCTGTTATCCAACAGAGACCACACACAGCTGACTGTTAGCATCAGTGATGCTAATAATTCTGACCCTGCTAGTTTTGTGTTTTTGCAAAGTAAGAAGTAATGTGAGCATTCAAAATAAAACTAGGATGTTTGAACACGCTGTTTTAAACATTCCTGCTCTGTTTAATGAAATGTTCATTGAGCGACTAATGACCTACAGTGAAGTGATCATATTAGCCAGTGAAAGAGTGACATTATTCATTTTTAC